ACATCCTTCAGTATATGCTTGTTTCGCTTGAGACATCCTCGAGTATATGCTTGTTTCGCTTGAGACATGCTCGGAATAGCTCATCCGCCTCGGTGTCCCTGGATAATCAACCGCGGCGATAATAAAGTTCACGCGGGCGGAGGAATGGAGAAAGCGATATACAAAAACAACAGTAAAAAGAAACAATACGAAATGAAAAAGAAAACGGAAAAAAACATCAAAAAGAAAAGAAAACAGAGGAGGAGGAGAAAGAGAAGGAAACATCTCAAGTTCAAATGTATTAGATTTTATTTACAAGCGCTTAAAAAAAATAAAATTTTTAAGTGCTCGTGTAGGGTAGCTCATGTGCTTCATTTTCCATGGATAATCAATCCCAGGGATAAAAAAGTTCAGAGGGGGGGGGCATGGAGAGAGAGAGAGAGAGAAAGAGAGATACATCATAAAGAAAAAGAAAGGAAGGACTTAAAGAGAGAAGATATATTTAAACAGAAAAGTCGAATAATACATGAAAAGGATAAAGAGAAGAGGAAATGAGGATAAAACACAAAATCTGAATATTCAAATGTATTACATTTTATTTACAAGCGCTTTATGAAAATTAGAAATTTTAAGTGCTCGTGTAGGGTAGCTCACGTGCCTCGTTTTCCCTGGATAATCAACCCCAGCGATAAACAAGTTCAGGGCGCCAGGGGGAGGAGGAGGAGAAAGAGATAGAGAGACAGAGAGAGAGAGAGACAGAGAGGCCAGGAAGGAGAAAGAGATAGAGAGACAGAGAGAGAGAGAGAAAGAGAGACAGAGAAAGAAAGAAAGAGAGACAGAAATAACTACAAAGAGACATAAGGACATTGGTTTCGTTTCGCTTGAGACATCCTGAAGCAACGTGTTCGCTTCGCTTGATGTTGTTATCTCAACATAAGAAGGAAGTAACTTCGATGGCGAACTTTTCCCGTGATAATGAAGTTCGGCCTCCGCGCCCCCGCGCCCCCGACCAAACTCTTATTGGTCGACGATAAAAAACTCTAACGACTTAAGGGGGGGCAACTTGATTATCATCGGCATCTGGTTATAAGCGTTCGGAGCTCCGCGCGGAGTTCTTGCCTCTGCGCTGGAGCCCCCTCCCTGGCGCGCGGAGTGCGCCAGGGGCGGCGCCAGAGACGCCGACAGGGGGGACCCAGCGCCGATCCAAAGACCTCCGCGCAGGCCTCCGAGCGTTTGCGTCTGTGCCCCGCGTGCGCTCCCTCTGGTGGGGAGCTCGGGTCGAGGAGAGGAGCCAAGAGCTGGAGCTTGTCTCGTCCTCCTCCTCCTCCTCTGGACCAAGAGCTCGCAGTTTTCTCTCTCCCTCCAGACCGTGAGAGGACGATCTCGGGACGGAGCAAAAGAAGGTCCGGGGAAGGGCGTCGAGGTCCCGTCGGGGCCCGCGTCGCGACCAAGAGCTGGAATCCGACAAGAGGGTCGACCACCGAGATGCCTGGAATCCGACAAGAGGGTCGACCACCGAGATGCCGCCAGCAAGCGGCCGTCCGCACCGCGGCGGCCGCTCGCGCGTTGGCGTCGCCGACCGCGCCCGCGCCGAAGGGCGTCGCCTGGGGAACCTCGGAAGTGCTCTCGGGGCACAGCACGCGCGAGAGAGATGCAGACCTCCTCGCGTCGTGACCTTGAGATTCAGGCGTTGCAGTTTTTGCACACGTCGGGCGTGCTCGTCCAGCTTCGGGCCCCGGGTCCCTTACAGACCGATGCGGCTCAAAAAGATGCCGCAGGAATCATGGTCTGGAGCTCTGGTCGTGATTGTTCGTGATATTGTATTTTGTTCGCAACGTCAGATCTAGCGGGGGAGAGTCAAGATGGAAGGTCTTTCGCTGCGTTCGGCTTCTAGGGAGGCAGTTACCAGGCCTCGCGATCGTCGAAAACCTGTTCTTGTGATGAAACAATGGCCCCAGGGACGTGGTCTGCACCCGAGGGGGTCCACGCTGCGAGAAACAGAAATACGACGTCGGAAAGCTGGAGATGACGCGGTCGCGCCCAGGCCTTCTGACGCTTCGGGCCCCCCGTCCCAGAGGAGTCCTCTGGGCTGGGAGCCGAGAGCCCCCCCGGTCTGCAGCAGTGAGCCTCTGGGCACCGCGAGTCTCGAGCGCTCGGTGCGCCCCCCCTCTGCCGCCCCACGCAGCCTCGCCCCCCCTCTTTGCTTGCGCCTCCAGCTCTCCATTCGCGATCCCACTGCGGTGGGGGCCCGTGCCAAGACCCGCCCTGCTTGCCCCCAGCGCGCCCGGGTCTCCTGGGTTTCGATGGTCCTGCGACGGAAAGACGGCGCGACGCTCCCGCACCAAAGGTCCATGGACGTCCTGGGGTCTCGGGGCTGGGCTTCGTGTGGGAGGTTCCTTGTGGTCGGGCCTCCACTGCATCCCAGTCTGCCGCCTCGACCGCGCTGCGCGTCCGCCGGCACCGCGACCACTGTGACTCCGCGGGCGCCGAGGCACTCTCCCACGAGAGGGCCCGTGGTGTGCGCGTGTGCGTGCAAGCCCACTGGCGCTGCGAATGTTTGGTCATCACTTTTTTCCCAGAGAGCTCTCTGAGAGCTATAGGATTTTAGAGAAGAAGCCGGACGGTGGTGGTGGGGCCAACGCCCAGCTCTTCACGACACCCAGACTCCCCGCAGAAAGTTGTTGTCCGGAGCTGTCGGGGCGCTTCGGCATGGCGTTCAGCGTGCTCTGCACGCGCGAGGACGCTGGAAAGCGTGGCTGGCAGCGCTTCACCAGCGAAGAGCTCCCTCTTCGCTCTCCGGGTTTTGGACGCTACCAGTGTTCGGCGCTTGGCCAATTGACACTCCACCTGAGCAGCTCGATTGCCAGCTTCTCAGCCGCAGGCGCTGTTGGACCTCCCAGCTGCCAGCGCAACAGGTTGCAGACAAAGAGCATCGTTTGTGCAAGGGGTCGCGCGGCAGTCTATCCCAGCGTCCCCTCTGGCTCTCAAGATTGATGTTGTCAGATTACTTATGCCCGTGAGCCATGGTGCTTCACACTGGCCACGGATTCAGAGTAGCTTCCAGGATCGGAGCTTTGCCGGGGATGGGTGGGCGCCGCATTTGGCTGAACCCGAAAAAAAGTTCAGTTCCTGCGCAGGTCGCCTCGTTACTAACCCGAGGGCGGGCGGCGCTGCATCGTGCAGCTCCATAGCCCCGCGCCCGTCTCGATGGCAAGGGCGGGTTTCGTGAGCTCGACGGGCACGAACAGCGGCAAAACTCCACCACGAAAGGGTTCCTTGACAGCTGCTGCTCACTGGTGGGGAGATCCGAGGCTCCTCGCGACGCCACCGACCACCTGGCTAAGCTGGAGAAGTGAGCAGGCATTCGTCATCGTCCTGCATCGCCGCCAGTCGTCGAACGGCCATTAGGTGGAACGGTGCAGAGAGGATTCGTAAGGTCCTTGCGAAAGGATGACACGCACACATCGAGAAGAGCATACACAGTCGGGCGTCGTCGTCGTCATTGCCGTCCTCCGTCAGCCGTCGGCCGACGTCGTCCGTCCGTCGCCGCCGTCGTCGTCGTCGTCGTCATTGTCTGTCGTCCGTCGTCATCGTCGTCGTCGTTGTCGCCGTCCTCCGTCCTCCGTCCTCCGTCCTCCGTCGCCAGTCGTCATCGTCGTCGTCGCTGTCGCCGTCCTCCGTCCTCCGTCCTCCGCCCTCCGTCGCCAGTCGTCGTCGTCGTCGTCGCTGTCGCCGTCCTCCGTCCTCCGTCCTCCGTCCTCCGTCGTCCGTCGTTCGTCGTCCGTCGCCGGTCGCCGGTCGTCGTCGTCGTCGTCGTCGTCGTCGTCGTCGTCGTCTTCGTCGTCGTCCGTCTTCGACGTCGAGGCCCATCCGCCTGTCGTGGTCTGTCGCCCGTCGTCGTGGTCGTCGTCGTGCTCCGACCTCGCCCGTCGTCCCTCGTCGCTGTCGTCGCGTCGTCGGCCGTCGCCGGCCGTCGTCCGTGGTTCGTCGCCCGGCCGGCCTCGTCGCCGCCGCGCGGGGGCCAGGACGAGCTGGGGGGCAGGGCGCTGCGGCCGAGCCTGGCGCACGAGGCCCAGGACGGCCGCCCGCCCGCGCGCCGCGGGGCAGCGCGGCAGAGCGCCCCCCGCAGGGCATCCGGGCAGCAGCAGAGGTGGAGAGTCGAATCAGAAGCAACGCCATGAAGATAAGCTCCTGTTGGAGGAGGAGGAGGAGGAGGAGGAGGAGGAGGAGGGGGAGGAGGAGGGGGAGGAGGAGGAGGAGAAGGAGGAGACCTGGGGCATTGCCTGATGTCTTTTCGGCTCGGTTCAGGCGTCCTGAGGGGCCCCTCTTGCCGTCCCAGCTGGTTCGGCGCCATGAGACAGATCCAGGGGCAGATCGCGAGGAGGGGACCCAGACCTCCAGCGTTTTATGTGAAAGCCAGAGGCCACAATAGTCCAACAAGTGCAAACACCATAAACGTAAACTTTTGGCGCTCCGCGCGGACTTCTTGGATCCGCGCTGGTCCGCCCCCGGCGGCGCCTCTGGCGCCGCCCCTGGCGCGCTCCGCGCGCCAGGGAGGGGGGCACAGCGCGGATCTGGGCGGATCGAGGATAATTCGGAGGATGATATCTTGAAGGAGGAGACCTTGGAGGGGGAGGAGGAGGAGGACAAGAAGGAGGAGGAGGAGGAGGAGGACCAGTGGAAACCCAAGAGCCATCAACGATGTTGAAATGAAACCTCCCTCCAAGCTCCCTCTTCATAGGCCCCTACAACGGTTCATTTCCATTGGGGGAACTGCCTCGTTGGAAGACAACAGCTTGAAGATCCTGAAGCGTGCCAAAACATTGTTCTCGGGATTTCAGCGCCACGTATCGACCTGACTGCTGCGTCCTGACGATCCAGAGGCGTGCCAGTACGCCGTTTGTGGGAGTTCAATACAGCGAACCAACATAATTGTTACTCCCGCATAATCCTGAATCCTTCCAAAACACCATTTCTGGTGCGCTGATCATGGGAATCCGTGAAAATCCTGCAAATGTTGAAAACGAATGTGCGCGGCGCTAAGGCGAGAGCCACATTTTGAAAAGGAACCGCCCTCGATCCGTGAAGCTCTTGCAAATGTGTCAAGCAAGTGTGCGCGGCGCTAAAGCGAGAGCCACAGTTTGAAAAGGACCTGCCCTCAATCCGTGAAGCTCTTGCAATTTGTTGAACGAATGTGCACGGCGCTAAAGCGAGAGCCATATTTTGAAAACTACCCGCCCTCAATCCGTGAAGCTCTTGCAGTTTGTTTAAACGAATGCGCGAGGCGCTAAGGCGAGAGCCACAGTTTGAAAAGGAACCGCCCTCAATCCGTGAAGCTCTTGTAATGTGGTTAAATGAATGTGCGCGGCGAGAGCCGCATTTTGAAAACGACCCGCCCTCAATCCGTGAAATTTTTGAAACTGTTTAAAACGAATGCGCGTGGCGCTAAGGCGAGAACCACAGTTTGAAAGCGACCCGCCCTCCATCTGTGAAACTGTTGTCACTGCTGAAGCTTCAGAGACATAAGTGGTGAGGAAGTCTCAGGCGAAACGCCCGACCCGCCCTAAAAACTGGCCTTGGGGTGCGACAGGGAGGAGTTATCTATAAGGAGAAGGAATGGAGGAGGCGGAGGAGGAGGAGGAGTAGGAGGAGGAGGAGGAGGAGGAGGAGGAGGAAGAGGAGGCGGAGGAGGAGGTGGGGGCTGGCATGCACGGTGTCGGGTGGGAGCACGGCCGTGTGCATCTCGGTGCACTCGCTTGCGAGGGAGCAGTCGGCCGTCCAGACCACAAGTGTGTAGCCGACACGGTTTTTGACGGCCCAAACGCGGACCCCCTCGGGCTGTGACAAAAATCATGACGGGAGGTTTTTCGCTACTTTTCGGCCTCCAGGAGCCGTCGCCGGGCCTCGGGACCGTCAAAAAACAACTCAGGATGAAAAACTGGTCCCCGGGGAAGTGGTCCAGACTTCTGCAGATCATGACATCGGGGTCTGGGGACGCTATTACAGTGGACACACTGAAGTAAAGGGTGGCTTTGAGCTCAGGAGAGGGGCTCGGGTTTCCAGGCCGTTCCTCAGGTCTGCGTCTGGGGGACCTGAGTTCGTGACCGAGGCTCGCCGCTGGGCCAGAGATAGGCCCCTTCGTTCCTTCTTGGTGCGGTCCTGGAGATATCTCCTCCTCCTCCTCCTCCTTCACCTCCTCCTCCTCCTCCTCCTCCTCCTCCCCCTCCCACCCCTACGCTGCGCTCTTCCTCCTCCTCCTCCTCCTCCTCCTCCTCCTCCTCCTCCTCCTCCTCCTCCCCCTCCTCCCCCTCCTCCCCCTCCTCCCCCTCGCACGCCGGCTGCAGGGGGGAGAGCAAACATGCTGCAGACGCATCGTCTCTCGGATGTCCGCGTGGACTTCTGGCGTCGGCGCGGGGCCTCCTCCCCACGCCCATTGGCCCCCGCGGGGCGAAGCGCGCTCGGGCGACGCCCGGGGGGGGGGGGCGCCGCCCCAGCGAGGCGTCAGGGATGTCCAGCGCCGACCCGAGAAATCCGGGCGGAGGCCCCCGAGATCCCGACGCCCCGATCAAATTGGTGCGGGCGGTCGTCGGCCGTTTGCGGCCTCCGGGGGCCCTCGCTGGGCCTCGAGAGTGTCAAAAGACGACTCGGGACGAAAAACTGGCCCCAGGGAAGTGGTCCAGACCTCCCGGGCCCACGCATCGGAAACATCGGAGCAGACGGGTGTCTGGGGCCCGAGCATGTGCGTTTCCAAATGCCGACGTCGACGTCGTTGTCGTCATGGGGTTGCTTCTGCGAGCCCTTCGTCTGCTCCTGGTCCGGCTCCTTCCTCTGCCACGCATGAGACCACCCCCTCGAAATGGCTCGAATCGTAGGTCTCGGGGCAGCGTGTGACGTCTCTGTTGGGCCAGAGATGCGAACCAGATCTGAATATTTGCAGAGGTGTGCTGTACGCCCTGCGGAGGAAGCAGCGTGGGAGTTTTTTGTCATTAGCCTTAAGTCGGGCACGTCCCTTTACAGGAGGAAAATTCAAAAATAGTCGACAAATAGTATGGGGACGATGTTCCATCATGTTTCACTGTGCTTGAGTATGTGTTGAGTATTTTTATTGTTGTCGTCCCAAATCCGCCTGTAGGAGGACATGCCCGACCTAACATTCGCCTGAATGCGAATTCGATGGCAACAGTTGCAGCCAAGGCGCTGACACAAGGACCACTTAGGGTAGGAAAGGGGCGCGCTGCGTCTTTCAGTGATTGCTCCTCCAGCGCTCCTCGTGCGCCCAGGCGCTCTCGGTGCAGAATAAGGCGTACTTCCTTACTTCGTGGTCCTTGCGCCAGCAGCTCAGGTGTAGGGCCCTCCATAGTCTGTGCAGTCGCAATAGCGCCGACATCCCCCGCGGCGGCTCGCAGCTCAGACTCGACGGAGACCCGAGAGGGCCCCGAGCCGCCGCTCGGGGGGGCTCCGTCGCTCCACGAGGGGTCTCGCTTGGGGGGGCGGTGCCCTGAGGGGGCTCCCGAGGTACAGCCAAGATACAGGAAGCATGGAGCGGTCCGGGCTCGGAGGGGGCTCACGCTGCTCCCGAGGTCCCTCCGTAAGCGTTCCTCGATCGCTCCTCACCCAGCCTCGAGCTTAGCCCTATCCCTAAGATTGACGCGCCGAGAGGCGAGGACAATCTCAGGGATGCGCCCTCAAAAACTGAGGGGATCCCTAAGATTGGCATCGTGATGGGGCGATGCCCAGCATAGGGATAGGGATATGTTCCAGGCTGGTACGCTCCCGGTGCACCCAGGCGTTTCTGGGGCCAAGGAGCGGGCCCGTTCTTTCTTTAGCGTTCCTGATGGTAGCAGTTTGACTATCCCTGGAGTTCCGTGGAGGTTTCCAGGTCGCCGGACCATCTGGAGGCCTTTGGAGGCATCCAGGGTCAAGCCGGTTCATTACCAAAATCGACCAAGAATTCAAGTCGTCGAAGCTCGAGGATCGAGGGCTGCACACGCTGCCTGACCGGGCTTTCGATCAGCCAGGTGATCCAGACTTAAGCTGGATCGGGCGGGCTGGACAGGAGCCAAGATCGGGCCACGGCACAGCCTGGATCAGGCGCGGTGGTCTTTGGGGGCAGAGATGGGGGGCGGCAAAGAGGGGGGTGATGATTAGGGGGGGGGATATCATGAGGTGGGCCCTGATATCTCCCCAGATTTCATGGCGCGTCTTCTTATTTCAATGCGTCCCCGGGCCCCTCCCCTGGACCGCGCATATGCCGCCGGCCATGAGTTGTGCCCCCCCCTCTTGGACGCCCCCCTCCTGGCCGCCCCCGAAGAGAGGCACCATCGCGTCCTTGCGCCTGGAGCTGGCTGCGGCGCCGCAAGGGCTGGCTCAGCGGCGGCTGTGATGGCGTGCGCCCCGGTAGACCCCGGGAGCCCCCGGTAGACCCCCGAAACCTTACAGCGCCCTTCCATCTCGCCAGCTCTTCTCCGTCCCTCCTCCTCAGCGCCCTGGACCCCCTTTGCGCTCTCCTCTCTCGTCTGCAACGGGCGTGGCCCAGGCCGAAGGGAATGCCACGACCGCGCCGCCGCCGACGACGACGACGACGCCGCCGACGACGACGACGAGCCGTCGCAGCGGAGGAGTGCTCGCTGACTGCGTCGAGCCTCACCTTCGAGGTTCCCGCAGGCGCTCGGGAGGGGGGAGGCAGACCAGCGGCACGGTTGCGAGGCGGGGGAGGAGGGGGGAAGGGCTAAGTCGGGCATGTCCTCTACAGGAAGAATGTATGAGAATAGTCACAAGGTAATCTGGGGACGAGTGTTGTTTACTATTTTGGGGTGTGTTTTGAGAATGTTTTGGTATTTTTATTTTTTCGCTCAAAATCCGCCTGTAGGGGGACATGCCCGACCTGAGGAAGGGGGGACCCAGACAGACCACTCGTACCTTGAGAAGTTGAAAGACGGGAAGCCCTTTTTGGCAATGTCTGGTCCCAGTGCAGCCAGTAGCAGATCAGGATGAAAAATGCGTCGAATGTCGAGTTCTTAAGGGTGCATGCTTAACCCACGACGTCATGAGCCGGGGGAGGAGGAAGATAAACTAGGAGAAAGGAGGAGACGGAAGGAGGAGGCGGCGGAGGAGGATGAGGAGGGAGGAGACTAGGGAAAGTGTTTGATGTTTTTCGGATCTGTTCAGGCGTCCTGAGGGGCCCTTCTTGCCGTCCCAGCTGGTTCGGCGCCTTGAGACCGGTCTAGGAACAAATTTTGAGGAGGGGACCCAGACCTCCAACGTTTTGTGAAAACCAAGGCCCCCAGATCCGAAGAAGAAAAAACGCCATAAACACAAGCTGCTGGCGCTCAGCGCGGATTTCTTGGATCCGCGCTGGACCCCCTGAGGCGCCGCTGGGAGGGGGCCCAGCGCGGATCCAAGAGATCCGCGCGGAGCGCCAAAAGTTTATCTTCATGGCGTTCGTTCTCCTTCGACTCTTCGCCCCTGCTGCTACCAGGATGCTTTCCTGGGGATCTGTGCTCTTCCAGGCGGCTTCGGAGCGTCGGATCTCTGGGGCGTTGGAGATCTGGGATATCTCGGAGGCTTCCCGCCGCGACTCTCGGGCCGGACGAGAGGGGGGGATAGGGAAGGGGGGGGGGTACGACATTTGCTGCATGTAGCCGGCTTCGGCCCCACCGAGGGGCCCAGTCCTCAATGCATGTGGCCGCCTCCAGCGGCGGGAGGGCGCCAGGAACATCAGCTGCGCGAGCTGATTCTCACAAGCCCCCCCAATTGCTACCCCCCCTTCCGCCCGGCCCGAGGCTCCTGCCCGGCCCCCCCCCCGCGGCCGCCGACCGGCCGCCCTCCATCCCCCCCCCCCCCGCGGGGCGCGCGCGCGCGCAGGCGGCCGCGCCGACGCTCGGAGCTCGCTCGGCGCGTCGACCATCGACCTGCCGGCGGCGGGCCTGCTGGCCGGAACGGGCAGCGGCCGCGGCCCCGGCTGGGCGCGGAGGGGGAGGGTCAGGAGGGGGAAAAACACACAGAGGCACAATGAGTCGTCGATTCCCCAGAAAGGATGGGAACATATGGGGAGTGGGGGGGAAGACGAGAACCCCCAAAAGTGTGGAAAAATATGGGGAATCCTGTTATGTGTGCTTATTTATTTGTGTGCCCCAGGGCCCCTTCAGTGGAGGGGGAGGGGTCGGGGCTGCGGAGGCGGGAGTCAATGCAGACGGGGTCGGCCAGTGCGCCCGACCTTGCAGGATCCTGCAGAGCCAGGGGTGCACTGACCCCCGACTTGGGCGCAGGATCCTGCAGAATCTTGCGGGATGGCCCGGGCTTGGGTGCAGGATCTTGCAGGATGTTGCGGGGCCTGACAGACCCGGGTTTGGATTGACCCGGGTCAGAAGATCCCCGAAGGGATGCGCAGGGTACTTTGCTTATTCGGGGGGCCTGTCCTGTCCACGGCAGTCTCTTCTTGTACGCCGTCGTGGATTCGGCGTGAGATCGACGTGGAGTCGACACAGGTTCGACACGGCTTCGGCGCGGCTTTGACACAGATCCGACGCGTTCGGCATGGATGCGGCACGGATGGCTGGCGCGATGGGACAGACGAGGTTCCCCAAAGGTGCGGCATAACGTAGGACCCAGACCCCCTCGCGTTGTGCAAAAGTCAAGGCGGAAGGCGCTTTCGCTACTTTCGGCCTCCAGGGGGCCTCCTTGTCTGACGGCCCCGGGGCCGGGCCTCGGGGCCGTCGGGCAAGGGCTCGGGATGAAGAACCAGTCCCCGGGCATGGTTCCAGGCTTCTGAGGGTCACGCCATGACAGCAATCACGACTGTGGGAGGTCCGGGGAGGGAGGCAGGATGGGGGGTGGGGGCGATGAGGAGGAGGAGGGGGGGAGGAGGAGGAGGAGGAGGAGGAGGAGGAGGAGGAGGGGAAGGAGGAGGAGGAGGAGGTTTTTCCTCCTCAGCCTCATGTTCCTCGTCCTCCCTGTCCCCCTCCCCGTCCTCCTCCTTCGAGCTTCGAGCTGCAGGCGGTTCTGATTTCCTGAGCCTGGCGCAATCTCCTCCTCCTCCTCCTCCTCCTCCTCCTCCTCCTCATCCCGCGCCGGGCACGATGCAGGCCTGGGCGGTTTGGGCGTTTTTTTTCCACAGAAGGGCAAAGCCATCTGTGCACAGACAACTGTCTTGATGAGTTGTTCCACGAAGGCAAGCTGACACGCAAACTGTACACAGGCGGTCGCGGCTTCGTTACTGTTGATGTATGATGAAGAACTCCTCACTAAGAGCGTTACTAAGGATTATTTGACCAGGTTTCCTTGCTGAGGATTTCCTTGCACGGATGCCTTACGAATAGTGTTTACTTGAGGATTCCTTCAAGGGGTCCCTTACTAAGGAAGCGCGATTGAGGAATGCTTACTAAGGATTCGCTCGCCAGTGTTCCTTGATGGCGATCCCTGACGCAGGATTCCTCACCAAGTGTTCTTACTTCGGGCCCGTGATTAAGGAATCCGTTGCAAGGGTTCTTTAGTTGGTCAGTTAGGATTCTTCATCTGGGATTCCATCGGAAGGACACCTTACTGAGGATTCCGGAGAAAAGGAATGCTTACTAAGGTTTCGTTACTAACGATCGCTTACGTCGGATTCCGTACTGAGAATCAAGGATTGTTTATTACGGGTTCCTTTTATGAGGGTTCACTGTCAATCATTCCTCAGTAGCGTTCCCCAGTGAGGGAACCTTAGTAAGGGTTCCCTAGTAAGGAGCCCTCATACGGGTTCTTTTGTTGCGGCTTCCGTATCAAGTGGGGTCCATCTCAGTGGTTCTTTATTCTGGATTCCTTATTCATCTGAGTTCCTTGCGAAGGATTTCCCATCCAGGATATGTTGTTAAGAACTCCTTGCCAAGGGTTGCTTACTAAAGAGTCCCTGCTAAGGAGGCGCTACTAAGGACTCGTTACGAAGGAATCCCTGGCCAGAATTCGTTAGCAACGATTTCTTTAGAATGGATTCGTTATTACGGACTCCATGGTAAGGACTACTTAACCCAGATTCCTTATCATGGTTGTTTGACTCAGCATTCTGCTAGCAAGGATTTCTTCGTACGGATCCCGTAGTAGGGAAACCTTTTTGTTCAGGGTTCCCGATTAAGGATTCCTTCATCGGGATTCCGAAGGATCCCTTTACCAAGGATTCTTTCCGAACGATTTCCCACTAAGGGTGCCTTACCGATGGCTTGTTAAAATTTCCCGCACAAAGGAATTCCAGTACATATTCCTGACTATGAACTCTTTGGTAATGATTCCTTATTAAGGAGTCCTTGCTAAGACGGCGGTAGCAAGGAACCTGAATTCAGGATCCCACAGGATCTCGACGGATCCCTAGGCTTCGCCGCGATTCGTAGGGATCCGCCAGGATTGCACGGGATCCTCATGGATTCCGACTGGAGGGGGAGATGGAGGAAAACCATTCAACAAGCACCGCAAGGCATGAAAGCATGAACATGATGTCGGAATAACTTCTGGGGAGTGGGGAGGCGCTGGTTTGTCTGAGCTCATAGTTGTTTGTCTGCTTATGTATAGCTTTGGGTGTGTTTGTTTTTGCTGTTGTTCCAAACGTTTGTTCCCCGTCTGTTCGGCGAGGTGTTCTTCCTCCACAATTAAAACATCTGAGTACTACGCTCCTCTCTCTCCTGGCCCTGATGACGTCTGGGAGATATCCGGCCCCCCTCCGCGTATTGTTTTTACACCTGATTCCTGGGAAATGTGTTTTCGCTTGGGTTTGTTGCGACATGTTGCTCCCGCTGAGGCGCTGGCCCCATTTCTGCGATTTTGTTTTTTCAAATCGCGCTCCCGCTGCAGCGCCGGCGTTTTCAGTCTTCCAAATAGGCTCGAAAATCTAGAAGATGCCCACCCGACAAAAACCTTCGGAAGTGATTACGGTTCGTTATTTGTTGGGCTCGCAGAAGACCCCCCCCCCCCACGTTGGGGCGTCGTCGCTTTCAGGAAGTACCAAGCGGGAGCCCCGTTTCTGCTACGAGAAGGCGGCGTGAATCGATTATCCCATCGGAGTTGTGTTGTTGTCATTGCTCCTCCCTGCCACGCTCATCCTCCTCGCCCTCCTCTTGCTCTCAACGCGTGCATCCCAGACCTTTCGATTCCCTCTCAAAGACCAGCGTTTCATCCTGGATCGACCTCTGCGGATGGCCCCGCGGCCCGACCCGCAGGTCGAGCTCAAGGAACATATATAGATTTGCACTGCACGATTCACGGCTGTCAAGGTCTGGTTCGGGGCCAGGCCCAGCCTATAGATTGGCGAGGAGGAGGTGGGAGGGAGGAGCGTCGAAGAGCAGGGGGGAGGGGAAGGACGAGGAGGAACAAGGAGGCGCGGCGAGGAGATCGAGGAAATAGAGGGGTGGGAGCAGAGGGTGCGGAGGAGGAGGACGATCGAAGGGGACGTGGAAGACCAGAGGAGGGGGAGGAGGAGGAGGAGGAGGCGGAGGAGGAGGAGGAGGAGGAGGCGGAGGAGGAGGAGGAGAAGGAGGAGGAGGAGGAGGAGGGCTCGCCGAAGGATCCCTGGAGCAGCGCAGCTCCGCAGGCCTCGTGCCCCAGCGGCCGGGAGCATCCAGGAACCACCTCCTTCCCCTCCTCCTCCCCCTCCCCTCCCTCACCTCCTCCTCCTCCTCCCTCCTCCTCCTCGTCCTCCTCCTCCTCCTCCTCCTACTCCTCCTCCCCCGCCTCCCTACGGTCCATCTCCTCCTCCTCCTCCTTTCCTCCTCCTCCTCCCCTCCTCCTCCCCCCTCCTCCTCCCTCCTCCTCCTCCTCCTCCTCCTCCTCCTCCTCCTCCTCCCCAGGCCGTAGCCTCCCCAGGCCGTAGCAGAGGCGCCACCCACCGAACGGCGCCAAGAGACCCCTAGGATGGACGGCCTCGCCGGGCCCACGATGGCGCCGAGGAGCCTTCCGGGGAGCTCGTGGCGGCCCCCGGGGGGGCCCACGGTCGGCCCGAGGTGGCAGCGAGGACCGACGACGGGGGCAGTCTTGGCTCCGAGCTGCGCCAAGAGTGCCCCAGCACACCAACGACCAGGAACGGCTGAATCGATTGCAGTGGAGACCCATGCCAAGAAGCACCCTGCTTGCCTCCGGGGTGCCCTGGGTGTCTTGTGTGTTCAATGGTTTTGCCGTGGAAAGCGCGACGCTCCCACACAAAAAATCAATGGACGTCCGAAGGTCGCAGGGCTTGGTTTCTTGTGGAAGGTTTATTGTGGAATGGCCTCCACTGTAGTACTCCGATGCTGCATCAGGTCTCGATGTGGCATCTAGGCGCAGAGCCTCTGGGCATCAGCTGCGGCAGCCCGCCTTTCAAAGGAGGTTCCTCTTCCTCCTCCTCCTCCTCCTCCTCCTCCTCCTCCTCCTCCTCTTCGGCGAGGCCTAGGGAGTGTTAAAATGAGTGCCGAAATACGGAACGGTGGGCTCCGGCTCCCTGTCTGGTCATCCGCGTTCACAGTGCAAGCGCACCGCACATGGCCTCGACCTTGCTCTCTCTGGCCCGTTTGCTGTGGGTGGATCCGCCGACTGGCGCAGAGGCGCTCTCCTTGCCCAGGCCCAAAGCAAAGCCGAAGCCCCCGAGCATCACCTGAACCGCCTGCAAGCGGCTCGCACTCGCTCGCCGTGGCCAGACACGCGCTGCTTCCGAGGCGCCTTGCGCCCCGCCAGGGCCAGAAGCCTCCTCTCCTCGGCTGGTCGGGGACGCACTGACCCGGGTCAATGTAAACCCGGGCCAGTCAGGTTTGCAGGGTCCTGCAAGATTTTGCAGGATCCCCACAAAATCTTGCACGCAAGCCCGGGTGCACCCCTGGCTCTGCAGGAGCCCGCAAGATCCCGCGCCCTGGCTGACCCCCGTTTGCATTGAACCCCGCCCCCAGACCCCCGACATTGCGACTCTTTCAAAACGGAGACCCCAGAGGTCTGGACCGGTTTTTCATCCCGAGTCCTTCTTTGACGGCCCCGCGGCCCAGGAAGGGCCCCCCAGAGCCCGCAAGCAGCGAAACCTTTCCCGTCGTGTTTTTGTTTCGCAGCGCGGGGAAGTCTGAGTCTCAAGCCTACCGAGGAAGAGGAGGAGGAGGAGGAGAAGGAGCGGAAGAAGGAGGAGGAGGAGGAGAAGAAGCGGAAGAAGGAGGAGGGGGAGGAGGAGGAGGAGGAGGAGGAGGAGGAGGAGGAGCAGGAGGAGGCAGCCCCGGGCGTGCCTCTCCCCGCGAGGCCGCAGCTCGCCGGCGGGCCACACGGGCGAGGTGGAGGCGGCGAGGGGAGCGGGGCGGGGGGAGCGGCCCCGCGTCGTGGAGGGGAGCGCGGCGGGCGGCTGTGGCTGGCCGTGTTCGGCCACGATCGCCAGGCCTTCTCCTCCTCCTCCGCCTCCTCCTCCTCCTCCGCCTCCTCCTCCTCGCCTCGCGCGCCTTCTCTTCCCCGCCCTCCTCGCCGCCTCCTCCTTCTCCTTCCCTCGCCTTCTCGCGCGCCTCCTCCTCCTCCTCCTCCTCCTCCTCCTCCTCCTCCTCCTCCTCCTCCTCCTCCTCCTCCCCTCCTCCTCCTCCTCCTCCTCCTCCTCCTCCTCCTCCTCCTCCTCCTCCTCCTCCTCCTGGGCCCTGCTGGGACGAGGATAAATCCGTTCCAGAGCGTTCCGGACGGGAACGCTCTCAGAGCGTGCCAGAGCGCTCCGAGAAGGCCGTGGCGCCCGAGACATCCTCCAGATCCGCGGGATCGCAGAGTTTCGCCTTAACTTCGGGGTGGGTAGGAAACGAAGCAAGGATGAGAATCCAGTCCAGACGTGCCAGGGTGGGCGTGATCACGCACGCAGGGTTTGCCAGTGGGGGCTTTGTGGAGCTCCTACTGGGCCACGGGACGTGCGAGGCGTGTGCCAGAACGTGCGCGGCCACGCATGCGGACTGCGCCAGTTGGGCCTTCTGTGGAACTCCTGTGGGGCCACGAAAGTCTGAGGGGTGTGCCATAATGGGCGCGGCCCCTCTTGCGGGCTTTGCCATCCGGGCGTTCTGTGGAGCTCCCATGGGGCCACGAAACGTGTAAGGGGTGTGCCAGAGTGGGCGTGGTCACGCTCGCGGGCTGGGCAGTGTGGGGCTTCTGTGGAGCTCCTACGGGGCCACGGAACGTGTGAGGGATGTGCCAGGCTGGGCGTGGTGACGCACGCGGACTTTGTCATGTTTGGTCTTCTGTGGGGCTCCTGTGGGGCCGGGGGAGCGTGTGAGGGGTGTGCCGAAGCAGAGGCATTCGGAGAGCAGAGGCGGGAAGGAGCAGGAGGAGGAGGACGCGGGGCTCTGCTGATTCGAGACGAGGATCCAGCACCACAGGACGGCTGGGAAACAGTTCCCCGGGACGGGGTCGATAGCTCCAGGGGTCCGCGCCGCAAAGAGACCGCAAGAGGTCCGGAGACGATGCCCGCAATGCATAGTTACTTGTTCTGCCAGCGTCACACGGCACTGCGCCTGCAATCATTCCCACCTGGCGGCCAGAACTTCAAACAGCTCCGACTGTCTGGCAGCTCGCCTGGAGGAGTTCAAACAACTCGGGCAATATTTTGTTATTCATGATTTTGCCGATCGGCGCGGGCGCTCGCTCCCCCCTCCCCCCTCCATGGAGTAGATCTTGGCTGGTTTTTTGGCGCCTGCATCGAGCGGGTGGAGTCCCTCCCCGAGAGGCAGCCTTCAGTCGCACTGAGCAGAGGTCCAGAGCCAGACCCCCCCCCTTCCCCCCTTCCGTCCAATGTCGAAACGCCGAATAAAAAACACGCTCACAAGTCAAGACAAGCTGACTCTTTTTACAGCACGTCTGACTCGGCGCCCCCGTTGTTGCCGCGCGCTCCCTTCCCCCCCGTCCCCGGCCCTGCCCCCGATCCCGGGCCCCCTTCCTGGCGGAAAGGGAATGCTACGCTGTTCCACGCGCATCCCCCAACGGTCGATACCAATCAACGTGTGTGCAAGCCCCTCTGCGAAGAGGAACGGATGCAAGCCCTGGAGGGAAGTGAGGGCTGCATGTCGGAGGGAGACATGGGAGGACAAACGTTCAAGGGGATTCGCAGGACGGTGCAAGCGCGGCCGCCCTTGCGTGCGGCTGCGATTTCACAGTCCAAGGCCCACCCCTCGACTCGGCCATGGCACGGGGGCGTAACCGTCATTGCGCGCGACCCTGGATTATGTAGTTGAAACGCAACTGTGGGGGCACTGTCGTACTAATAGAACCACGCACGCGCTTCGCGCTTGCTGAGCTTCTAGTAATAATCCAAGGGGGTATGTGTATAGAGAGAGAGAGAGAGAATAACAACAAAGTAGGGAGAGGCGTAGGGACAGACGCCGGAAGAGAGAGAGGCAGGCATGGTCGGTCGCGGGTCTCCGTTGCGGTCCGAGAGGTGGGGCGCATAGCAAATGTTCACTTTGAAAGTATGTTGTCCTCTCCCCGATCCCAATCCCAAAGTTGAATCGAGGACCATACAGCTTGCTTGACCTTTTTCGGTATCGAAGCACGAGATTCCCCCTCGCCTCACCCTTCCACAATCTTACTGAATACCAATACTACTCTCCTTTCTCCCTTGGATCTGCGCGGAGGTTGTCCCGCCCTCTCCGCGCATTGATTGTATACACCAGATTTCAAGAGTTGGTATTTCCTAGGTGTGTTGCAAGTTGGTCGTTTTCGGTGCTTCCACATGGTGCGGGCCTCATTCTAGGATCGGCACTTTGCCACCGTCGTTGAGAATGGCACCATCGCACCAGCGCGGGCCACTTTCGTGGTTCCGAGCCCTTACTCAACGTCCATCGCTGTCGCCCCCCGCCTTGTCCCTCCTCCGCCTTCCTCTAGTCGTCCTGCTCCTCCAGCTCCTTCGACTCCAGCTCCTGCTGCTGTTCGTCCTCGTCCTCCTCCTCCTCACTCTCCCCTTTTTTTGTTTTCTCCTTCTCGTCCTCATGATCATCCGCCACTTCCTCCTCCTCCTCCTCCTCCTCCTCCTCCTCCTCCAATGTACGCAGCTCCCTTATTTCCGAATGCGCATGAAACGATAAGGGTTCTGCTTTGAGTTCCAGGTCCGCTACGACAAGACAAACAAAAATCAGCGCCGTGGGAAGGCATGGGCGGGAGGGACAGGACGTCAGATGTGGCGCTGGCGCATCTGGCTTGCCACCCCACCCCCCCTCCCCTACGGGGCAGGCAGAGCGCACGCTTCTGCACGCTGCCGCGCCCTGGATACGGGGGTGGCCGGGGGCGTCCGTCACCGCCGTCTCGACCGGCGGCCCGGGTCATTGCCGAGCCCTGGCCTTCGCCGCCCCCACCCCCAGCTCCGCGCACCGCCCCGCGGACCTCCTGTGGACCGCGAGCGGCCTCCTCCTCGTCTCCGTCCTCGTCCTCGGCCATTCCCCCATGACTCCCTCCTCTCACGCTCCTGCTTCCCCTCCTCGTCCTGCTGCTTCAGTTGGGCAACCTCGCAGAGCCACTGCCCCCATTTCATGTCCTACACCGAGCTTACTTCAGCATTGCCATAACAGTTTGAGCCGATAAGTTCCGCTCTGGGCTGTGCGGGCGGATCTGTAATCATTGCGTGTTATCTGAAAGATGCTTGCACTACCCGAGCGAGAATGCCTGGAACTCAAGAATTCCTCCTAATCCTCCCTCCATCCTTCCTCCCGCGGGCACCTGTGCATAAGCTGCGCTGTTCTCCTGCTTCTCCTCCTCCTCCTCCTCCTCCTCCTCGTCATCATCATCATCATCATCATCATCATCATCATCATCATCATCAGCATCATCATCATCATCATCAGCATCATCATCATCATCAGATCCAGGCGTTGGCAGAATCGCGGGGGCCGTGTTTCTCCACGCGTCGTCTGCTTCGGGAGACCACTTCGTGGTCCCTGGACCTTCAAGAAAGCTACTGCGGATAATAAAAAGCCGGTCGTGGGGCAGGTGCCGAGGTCTCCAGCGTCACGAGCAGGCTGCGACAACGCTCTAGTTTAGCAGAGGCCTCCTCATCCTCCTCCACCTTCTCCTCCTCCTCCTCCTCCTCCTGCTCCTCCTCCTCCTCCTTTTCCTCCTTCTCCTCCTCCTCCTCCATCTCCCCTACCTCCTCCGCCTCCTCCTCCTCCTCCTCCTCCTCCTCCTCCTCCTCCTCCTCCTCCTCCTCCTCCTCCTCTTGCTCCTCCTGCAAGCATAGGGCAGCTGGTGCCTCACGCACACGTCTAAGCCTGCGGGCGCCAAGCGGTCCAAGACAGTCAGGCGCTGGTCAGCAAGCGGTGGAGTGCACAGGAGGCGAGTTGAGGCACGACAGCGAAACAGAAAAGAGCGCGAGAGTCGGAAGAAGGGGCCCGCTCAGACCGTGTAGGCCGGCGCAGGGATGCCCAAGGAGAACATACAAATTGCGTGCCTCGCGCGCGCACACACACACACACGAAAACACACATTCACTCAGTCTGGCTCAGACCCCCGACGTCGTGATTTCTTCACAACGTCGACCCCCAGAGGTCTGGACCCCTTCCCGAGGCCCCGAGGCCTGGGAAGGGCCCCCAGAGGCCGAAGATAGCGAGAAAAACCTCCCGTCGCAATTGTTGTCCACTGCGCGAGGAGGTCTGGGGAACAGGCTGTGCCCCGCGACGGAAACGTTGGCTTCCGCGACGGACAGGCACACCAGCCTCCCGGGCCGCGGCCGAGGCCAGCTGGATGCAGCAGATGAGAAGGAGGAGGAGGAGGAGGAGGAGGAGGAGGAGGAGGAGGAGGAGGAGGAGGAGGAGGGAGGAGGAGGAGGAGGAGGAGGGAGGAGGAGGAGAGGAGGAGGAGGAGGGAGGAGGAGGAGGAGGAGGAGGGAGGAGGAGGAGGAGGAGGAGAGGAGGAGAGGAGAGGAGAGGAGGAGGAGGAGGAGAGGAGGAGGAGGAGGAGGGGAGGGGAGGAGGAGGAGGAGGAGGAGGAGGAGGAGGAGCAGGCGGCGGAGAAGGAGGAGGAGGAGGAGGAGGAGGAGGAGGAGGAGGAGGGGGAGGGGGAGGAGGAGGAGGAGGAGGAGGAGGAGGAGGAGGAGGAGGAGGAGGAGGAGGTGGAGGAGGCTGGAGACTACCTCGGGACCCTGGCGGGTTCCGCTCGCCCACGGGCGCAGGGAACAGACGGGGGAGAGCCCACCCAGACTGCAGCGGCCCGCCCAAAAGCAAACCCAGGGTTGGCCAGGACCCAACCCCGAGTTTGCCCGAGGGGCCGAAGGCCCACAGGGCCCAAAACCGAGGCGGCCCAGGGAGGCGACCAGGAGGCCCAAACCACCAAACCAGGCCCAGTCTGGATAAGGACCCCCCCGACCCCTCCCCTCAGGGGCCCTCCATCTTCTTCAAAACCTCGGAGCCGTCGACGACCTCTCAGTCTTCGGCGGCGTCCTCCGCAGCGTCCTCGCCCGAGTCCTCGGAGAGGACGGCGCCGAGGACGAGGCACGCCTTGGCCCAGACGGCACGCTAGGCGTAGAGCTCCTCCAGGAAGCCGTCATCGCCCAGGCCGCAGGAGGAGGAGGAGGAGGAGGAGGAGGAGGAGGAGGAGGAGGAGGAGCCCGCGGGCGGCGCCCCCGCCCAGCTGGGCCGCGTTGTTTAAGCGGCGCAGGCGCACCGCCACCCGCGCGCGGCCGGCGCAGCCCCCCCCCCGCGCCCACGGGGCGGGCGCCGGAGTTGCCGCGCTGCGGTCTGGTGGAGGGCGCCGCTCAGCCCTGAGCCCCACCGGGCCCTCCTCAGCCGCCGCAGCCCCTGCCTCCTGGGTTGTTTATGCTCTTTGTTATGTCATTGTTGATGTTGTTAAACACATCCAGCAACTTCGCTTACATGGGCGGAGGGGGAGGGTTGAGCCTGCAGCAAGCCGCAAATGAGATCTTGGCGTTGCAATGTTTGTCACAACGGCGTGGCGTCTTCGCCCAGAGTCGGGCCCCCAGGGCCCTGACAGATCGATCCAGCTCGAAGCACGGCGCAGAAAGCTGGGGTCTAGGGCTCTGGTCGTGATCTTTCTTACGGTGTCTCCACGTTTTCGCGCCGTCGGATCTCAGGGTACGCCGCCTCTTATAGAGTTGCTACGCTGCACGGCTTCTAGGACAGGACCTCAGAGAAGCGGTACGGTGGTGCCGCCTGGAGCGCAGCAGGGAGGAGAGCCTCGAGCAGGCCCACGGGGTCTTGGGGCTGCCCCGCACTATGACTCAAGTCTCTCAGATTCGCGAGGTGGCGATGGAGCTGGCTCCACCCTCTATCTCTATCGCCCCCTCCTCCTCCTCCCCTCCTCTTCCTCCCCTCCCTGCTCCCTCCCCCTCCGACATGCGCGTCTCCGTGGTCACGTGCGGCGGGCGCGAAGTCGCATCCTTGGCCGCCGACCCGTCGTGGCGCCTGCGGGACGTGCTCGAGGCAGCGCCGGAGCAGCAGGGGGAGGCCGGCTGCAGGCGGCGGGTGTTCGTCGGCGCGGTGGAGCTGCGCGGGAGCCTGACCTGGTCGGGCTCCGGGCCGCGCACGGGCAGCCGCCCCTCAGATACGGCGGGTGCGTTCGTGGAGGAATGTGCCCAGGAGGCTCCAGACCCTGGAGGGTTCAAGCGTCCCCCCCCCCCCCTGGTGGTCTGGGGCGGTCTCAGCACAGCACCCCAGCGCCGCCTGGGACGGCGCCTCGGAGGTGCTCGGCGCCCCGGGGTTGAGGTGTTGGGACTGCCCTCAGATACGGCGAGGGGGGGCTCGTTGAGGAATGTACCCGGGAGGCTTCAGACCCTGGATGTTCCTCATCTGATGAGGACGGCGGTGATATCCATGGTCAGGCCTCAGTTGGCGTTCCACCGCCTTCCATGCCCTGCATTCCTCGTCCAATGGTTCCTCATCCGGTGCCCGACGGCATGGATGTGGTCGTGATGGACGCGCAGGCCCTGGTTCGGAGCATCCAGGCCCTCACCGCCCCGTATCGCTGAGGCCCCCGCCGTGTTTCGCCCAGTGCCCTTCGGCATACAATGCTGCGCTGTGGTTTTTTTTTGGGGTTGCATGTCGAATATGATGTGCTTTGTGCTATGTCGGTTCAAAAAGAAATGCCCCCACCGTAGCCCCGGCTGGCCTCAGCAGCCTCCCCGTGTAGCCCCAGCGGGCCTCAACAGTCCCCCCCCATGGTAGTCTGGGGCGGCCTCAGCACAACTCACTGGCGCCGCCTAGGACGGCGGCCCCTGAGCTGCTCCGCGCCCCAGGGTTGAGGTGTTGAGACTGCCCCCGACTACTCGAGGGGTCTGTTGAGGCCAGCTGGGGCTACTCGGGGGGCCCGTTGAGGCCACCCAGGAATACCTGGGGGGGGGGCTGTCTGCGCGTAACCCGAAGCCTTGCCAAGCCTGACCTTGGCCGAGGTTATGGTAACAAACAGTGGCATAAACACAGAAACTCTGAGGTCCGACCGGATTCCTCGGATCGGCGCTGGGGCTCCCCGGCGGCGCCTCCGGCTCCGCCCTTCGCGCGCTCCGCGCGCCATGGAGGGGGCTCCAGCGCCGATACGAGAAATCCGCGCGGACCTCCGCGTTGTTATATTAATGGCACTTTTTGTTCCCCTGGAGGTCGGAGCCAGAGACGGCAGCGAGATGACCCTCGTGGTGACGGGGGCCCATCGCATGGTGGCCTGCTGCGCCGAGCGGGTGAGGATCCTTTCTGCTCCCTCGGGCGATTGCCTGTGCACGCTGGAGCATGCGGACCTGGTGTTCTCTGCGGTCTTCTCATGGGACGGACATGAGGTGTTGACTGCTACCCAGCTGCTTGCGGCAAGCCCCGCCATCGTGCCAGCGCACGGCTTGCGGCAGACCCCGCCACCGTGCCAACGCAGCAGTGCAGCAGCGAGGAGGTAGTTGACGACCCGATCCAGTTCACTGCCCTGTCTAAGCTGATGCTGGTCTTCAACGCTCCGTGTGTTCTGCCTCACCCTCCTCGTCCTAAGTCGGGCCTGTCCCTCTACAGGAGGAAAATTCAAAAGTAGTCGAAAAATAGCCTGGGGACGATTCTTTGACCATTAAAAAACATGTTTGAACATTGTGCGGGTATGTTTCATTTGTCGTTCAAAATCCGCCTGTAGAGGGACAGGCCCGACCTAACTTTCAGACGTCTAGGCGGGTCTTGAGGCAATCTTGCACCCCCCAAGGTCCATTTCGATCGGATCGATCCGATTTGAGAGCGATCCTGGCCGGTCCGATCCGATTCGATGCCGGTGTTCCGACGATCCGATGCGGCCCGATGTTTGCATGGTGTTGTTGTGCATCTTGGTGCAGCCGTTCCCATTCGATTTCCATTCCGTGCCGATGCAGCCCGACCCGATGCACATTTCGATTCGACCCGCTTTACCAATTCGATGCTTGCTGATCCTGCCTCCTCGAGCAACGAATCGGGTGGTGGCCCTCAGAAACATTGTAGCAACCCTGCCCGACAACCTACAGACATCCTAACACGCCCCAATGTGGCGAAGGCCTGGTGGCGGACCAGGGGCGCGATGGCATTGATCTGGTCTGCTACCTCTGGGGAGTGCCTGCGTACGTTGCAGGGGCACCAGGACGGGGTACTCTCTGCGGTCTTCTCGCAGGACGGGCAGGAGGTGCTGACAGCTTCGGAAGACGGTACCGCGAAGATCTGGTCAGCCGTTTCTGGGGAATGCCTGCGTACGCTCAGGGGCCACAGGACTGCAGTGATGTCGGCCGCATTCTCGCCAGACGGGCAAGAGGTGGTGACCGCGTCCATGGACAGGACGGTGAGGATCTGGTCGGCGGCCCTCGGCCAGTGCCTGCGCACGCTCGAGGGCCACGGCGGAACGGTGCTGTCCGCCGACTTCTCGCCGCACGGGCGGGAGGTGCTGACGGCATCCACGGACGGAACGGCGAAGCTCTGGGCCGCCGCCTCGGGGGAGTGCCTGCACACGCTCCAGGGCCACCGGGAGCCCGTGCGCTCCGCCCGCTTCTCCCCGGACGGGCGGGAGGTGCTGACCGCCTCCTGGGACCACACGGCGAGGCTCTGGTCCCCGGGGGGGGCCGGCCCAGAGCGCGGGGCAGAGCGGGCCGCTCGTCCCGCGGACGGCCTCTCGCCGCCGGCCGCTGCGGCCCCTCCCCCCGCGCGTAGGGCGGGCACATCCCTCCACAGGAGGCAGATTCAAGAACAGCCAGAAAAATATTCCGGGGGCGATGGTTCGACAAATGTTTCCTTCTTTTTGGACATCTGTTCTGGCTACTTTTTATGTTTCTTCCAAAATCCACCTGTAGGGTGACGTGCCCGACCAACCCCCACGCCCACCCGCCGCCCGGGGCGGCACCGAAGGCGCCAACCGGCGCGGGCCAAGAAGAGGCCACCCCGGCGGTGGTGACCTGCGCGCCCTGGCCCCCCGACGTCGTGGCGTTTTCGTGACGGGACCCCCCAGGAGGAGCCTGGGCCCCTTCCCCTGGGACCGGCGTTTCCTCCTGGGTCGTCTTGTTGACGGCCCCGAGGCCCTGCGAGGGCCCCTGGAGGCCGACAATCGCGAAAGACCTCTCTCGTCGCGATTCTTCTTCGCGACGCGAGGGGGGTCTGGGAACTGGCGCTCGCCTCCGAGCGCCCTGCGCTGGCCGTCGCCGCCGGCGGGGTCGGGGTCGGCCGGCTCAGGGGAGGGGGGTCGCCGGCGGGGCGCTGCCCCCTCGCCTCAGGTCGGGCGTGTCCCCCTACAGGCGGATCTTGGAGGGAACGATGGAAAATGGATCAGAAATATTCGGAAATGGTCCACGAGAGCATCAACAACTCATCCCCAGACTATTCTGTTGCTACTTCTGAACACTCCTCCTGTAGAGGGGCGTGCCCGATGTTAATTACCCTCGCCCCATGCGGCCGTGGCGGCCTCTTGTTCGCTCCTGCGCCCCGGGGGGGAGGGGGCGAAGAAGGCCGATCGCAACCACCTTCGGACCGTTCAGGGACCGCTTTGGACCGTCTAGGCCTCCCAGATGGGCTCGGAGTGGATGGGCTCAAAGGATGGCGCCGCATCGCCGATGCATCGCCGATACCACTCGACGCGGAGCCCGATTTTCTCCGCGCCGACATCGCCGATGCCTCGCCGACGTCGGCGATGCATCGACGATGCAACGCCTCCCCAGACCCCCTGGAGTCGTGAAAAAATCGTGGCGAGAGGTGTTTCGCTACTTTCGGCCTCCAGGGGCCCTCGCCAGGCCTCGGGGCTGTCAGAAAACGACTTCGGATGAAAAACTGGTCCCAAGGAAGGGGTCCAGGCTCCTGGGGGGTCACGTCACAAGAAAAAAAACACAACGTCGGGGGTCTGGGTTCGGGCCGTCTGGGAGCAGGAGCCGCTTCGGACCGACCACAACCCCTGACAACGGACTGATCGCAACGTGCAGAGCTCCTAATTGTAATCCTACAGGGCAAATGCGAGATTGCAACCAGGAGAGCTTGCTTCAGCTTCCTTGGCTTGAAGGATTCTGCGGCTTCCTGAGCGGTCCTAAAAGGTTGCGATCGGTCGTGAACGGTGCGAAGTGGTTGCGATCGGTCGTGCTCGCGGGGGAGGGGGGCTGCGCCGGTGGAGAAGCCGTCCGCGGACGGTACAACACCGGCCATGCGCAGAGGGGGTGCACAGTGCCGTTTTTTATACACGCTCCGCGTGCGGATCATGTATTAAAAAAGCAGGGATTCATGATTCAAAACAACGATGAGTTCATGCATAAATTCATTCACACATAAATCATGTATTAAAAATCCAATGTGTTTAAAATCCTATCTATCAAAAACTGCCCTGTAATTAGCGCCAGGGGGAGAGACGGGTCCCGAGGGCAAGCCGGGTCTCCTGGGGTCTTTCGCCGTCTTCGGGCTCTCGTGGCCCCCCGCGGGCCCCGGGAGTGTCAGAAACGACGGGTGAAAACTCGTCCTGAGGTGGAAGGCCCCAGGGTGTCCAGGACCCGTTCCCCTCGGGACCCGCCTCCCCCAAGCTACGGGGTAGGGGGAGGGGGGGAAGGCTTCTCAGAAGCACCCCTGCTTCTTGGAAGGCGCGGGCCTCGTCTTTGGATGTCGGGCTGGCGCCCTCTAAGAGGTAGCTTCCTTCCAAGAAGCCTTCCACCCTCCCCCTGCCCCCCTTCTGCGCGCCGCCAGGTATTTGGAGCTCACTGCCCGCGTTCAGAGAAGAGCCATGGACCACGCCACCGAGAACCCAATCTTGTGGGGTGGGGGCCAGACCCCCTGGCGCTGTTACGCGCGAGCGTCAACCCGAGGACAAGGCGACGCTCGGGCGTGCCACCGCCTATAGGGTTCGGTCCCCCACCGACGGGTTCTCGATGGCGGTGGTACGTGCCTCTTCTCTGGCGCGTGCTCTTCCCGGCCTCCCCCGCGTCCGCCGTCTCCTGGGAGTGCCTGCGCACGCTGGAGGGCGGGGAGCCCCTGTGCTCCGCTGCCTTCTCGCCCGACGGGCGCCTGGTGCTCACCTCCTCGGTGGGCTGGACGGCGAAGCTGTGGTCTGCCGCTTCGGGGGCGTGCCTGTGCGCGCTGGGGGACGCGGGCGCGGTCGCCAGTTTCGAGCCGTGACTGCCGCGCTGATGGCTGGCGGCAGTACCTCCGCTTCGTCGCGGCACCGCGCTCGGGGGAGGCCAACTGCATGCAGCTGGCACACGGGCGTAAGAAAAGCCGTGGCTTTGGAGGGGTACCTTTGTGTTGTCTTCGTGCCTGGCCCCCGCACCCTGGAGCGGTGTTCATTTTGGGGTATCTCCACGGGGCCTTGGGCCTTGGGCGAAGGGGCTCGCGTTTTCTGGACTCCTCCTCCTTCTCCACCTCATCCTCCTCCTCCTCGTCCTCCTCCTCCTCTTCTTCCTCCTCCTCCTCCTCCTCCGCCTCCTCCTCCTCCTCCTTCTCCTCCTCCTGCTCTCCCTCCTCCTCATCCTCCTCCTCCTCCTCCTCTCCTCCTCCCCCTCCCTCCTCCTCCTCCTCCTCCTCCTCCTCCTCCTCGTCCGCCTCCTCCTCCGCCTCCTCCTCCTCCTCCTGTGGCCGTGCTTCGGCTGCACACTGGCACCGATCCTGGCCAGGCCCACCCTGGGCCCGAGAGATCAATGCGTCGGGCGCCTGCCAGGGCCAGGCCCAGAGGGAAGGGCGCGTGCAGCCAAGACGCTGGAACGAGGACCACTCCTGGGCCCAAGGCAGTGGAGGCCCATGCCAAGAAACACTCTGCTCGCCTCCAGGGTGCCCTGGGTTTCTTGGGTTTCGATTGTTTTTACGATGGAATGCGTGAAGTTCCCACACCAAGAATCAATGGACGTCCTGGAGTCTCAGGGTTGGGTTTCTCGTGGAAGGTTCTTGTGGACTGGCCTCCACTGTAGGAGCTCTGGTTGTCGCGCCGCTCGCTGGACTTGGGTTGGGGGGGGGCTGTTCGTGGCCGAGGCTCGCCATGGCCATGAAGTCTCCTTCGTTCTTCACTAGGCGTTCCTGATCGCAAACGCCCACGTTGAATCACCGGCGCCCGCGGCTTTTCGGGACACGCCTACGTGGCCAAACGTCTGGGCAGAGCTTGGCCACGCTATTGGAACATGCGTTCCCCCAGCCGTTGTGGAAGAGAGGAGGATGAGGAGAGGGAGGAAAGAGGAGGATGAGGCGAAGAATGAGGAGACCTCTTGGCAGCTAGTTGGGTCATTCTTGGGGCCTCCAGGGAGCTTCCTGGGGGCCTTTTGGAAGCTTCTTTGGGTTCTTCTTGGGCTTCTTTCGGGCCTTCGGGGGCTTCCTGCGGGCCTCTTTGGCTGTCTTACAGTGTTCCTAGCCCGTCTGACGCCGTCGGAAGCCGTCTTGGGAGCCTCTCTCTGGGCCGTCTTGGGGACCTCTTGGGGCGCTTCAGGGTCGTCTTGGAGGCCATATTGGGCGTCTTGGAGGCCTCCTGGGCCTTCTTCGAGCCTTTTGGAGCCGCCTTGCGAGCCTCTTCGGCCGTCAGGGGCCCTCCTGGAGGCCTCGTGGGCGACCTTGGGGTAATCGTGAGGGCCTCCTGGGCCGTCTTGGGCAGTCGGAAGGCCGTTTTGAAGCAAATGCTATAATATTTCAAACACTTCGGGAAAATCAATGATGGTGGCCTCTTCGGGCCTTTCTGGAGGACCTCTTGGAGGCCTCTTGGGCCGTCTTCGGGACCAGTTGGGCGCTTTTTAGAACGTCTTGGCCGCACTCTTGGACCATCTTGGCGGTCTTGGAGGCAGCTTGGGGTTATCGTGCGCCCTCTTGCGGCCATCTCGCCCGTCTTTGATGCATCTTGTAGGCCAGTTGGGGCCATCTTGCCCATCTTGGAGGCGATTTGGACAATAGGCTCTGGATGGCCGTCGGGATGTGCCGAAGTTCTAGTGGGAGTCTAAAAAGAGCTTGCGCCCGCCACAAGTTCAGCACTCTGTGCACCCTGTGGCAAGCCACAGGGGGCGGCGGATCTAAGATGCCTGCGGCGAATCACCGCCGCCCCCTTTCTTATGGAAACGCCAAAGTGGCCAAACGCTGGACCGAAGTGTGGCCAGGCTGTTCGGCTATGTGTTCCCCCAGCCGTTGTGGAACCCCTTGGTGAAACATTTGGGAGGAAGATGAAGGAGGAGGAGATGGAGGAGAAGGAGGACGACGAGGAGGAGCAGGAGGAGGAGGAGGAAGAAGAAGAAGAAGAGGAAGAAGAAGAAGAAGAAGAAGAGAAGGCCGCTTGAGGCCTCCTGAGGGCTTCCTGGGATCCTCTTGGGGGCCTCTGAGGGGCCTCTTGGGGGCCTCCTGGGGCATCTCGGGGGCCTCTCGGGGGCCTCTGGGAGTCTCTAGGGGACCTCTTGGCCTTCGGAGGCCGCCTTGGAGCCCTCCTGGGCCCTCTCTGGGCAGTCGCGGGTCTTTCTTTGAGCGTTTTAGGGCCGCCTTGAAAGCAAATGACAGCATCCTTCGAACACCGACCTGATATCATTGATTTTGGCCTTCTGAGGCCTTCCTGGAGGACGAATTGGAGTTGTGGGGGCCGCCTTGGAGGCCTATTGGGAGCATCTTGGACCATCTTGAGCCCATCTTGGGCCGTCTTGGTTGCATATTGAACCGTTTGGGAGACATCTTGCGGCCATCTGGGGCTCTCTTGGGGCGCTGAAAAGCCGTCTTGGAGGCCACCTGTGGCATCTTGAAGGCCTCTTGGGCCGTCTTGGGGCCCTCTTGGGGCGGTCTTCGGCAGCCTCTTAGGCCGTCGTGGGGTCATCTTGGAGGCCTCTTGGGCGATCTTCGGGGCCTCATTGGGCCGAATTGAGCCGTCGGAAGGCCATGCTGAAGCAGCTGCCAGAATCCTTCAACAACTTCAGGAAACTCAATGATTCGGGCCTCTTCAGGCCTTTCGTCCTGCCTGCAGGACCTCTCGCGCCGTCTTGAGGGCCTCTTGGGTGCTTCTTGGGCTGTCTTGGGCTCTCTTGGACCATCCTGACGGTCTTGGGGGCATCTTAGGACCATCTTGGAGGTCATCTCGGGGCTGTCTTGGGCGTCTTGGGGCCATCTTGGTTGTCCTGGACACCATCCTAGCCGTCTTGGAGGCCATCTTTGGACCATTTTTGGAGGGGAAGGCCGATGGAGTATACACATTTTCCCAGGTTTGCCACGTGGCCGGCGGGTTGGGCCGAAGCCCCACGGGGCGTTTGTGCCAGCCGTTCGGCACGCTGCGCACCCCCTGTGACAAGGCCGCAGAGGGGCGGCAGCTGACGGAAAGCGCGCACAGCGTCGCGACCCGCTAGCCGGGCAGAAAAAAACCAGGGGGCCTCTCGGGGGCCTCTGGGAGTCTCAAGGGGACCTCTTGGCCTTCGGAGGCCGCCTTGGAGCCCTCCTGGGCCCTCTCTGGGCAGTCGCGGGTCTTTCTTTGAGCGTTTTAGGGCCGCCTTGAAAGCAAATGACAGCATCCTTCGAACACCGACCTGATATCATTGATTTTGGCCTTCTGAGGCCTTCCTGGAGGACGAATTGGAGTTGTGGGGGCCGCCTTGGAGGCCTATTGGGAGCATCTTGGACCATCTTGAGCCCATCTTGGGCCGTCTTGGTTGCATATTGAACCGTTTGGGAGACATCTTGCGGCCATCTGGGGCTCTCTTGGGGCGCTGAAAAGCCGTCTTGGAGGCCACCTGTGGCATCTTGAAGGCCTCTTGGGCCGTCTTGGGGCCCTCTTGGGGCGGTCTTCGGCAGCCTCTTAGGCCGTCGTGGGGTCATCTTGGAGGCCTCTTGGGCGATCTTCGGGGCCTCATTGGGCCGAATTGAGCCGTCGGAAGGCCATGCTGAAGCAGCTGCCAGAATCCTTCAACAACTTCAGGAAACTCAATGATTCGGGCCTCTTCAGGCCTTTCGTCCTGCCTGCAGGACCTCTCGCGCCGTCTTGAGGGCCTCTTGGGTGCTTCTTGGGCTGTCTTGGGCTCTCTTGGACCATCCTGACGGTCTTGGGGGCATCTTAGGACCATCTTGGAGGTCATCTCGGGGCTGTCTTGGGCGTCTTGGGGCCATCTTGGTTGTCCTGGACACCATCCTAGCCGTCTTGGAGGCCATCTTTGGACCATTTTTGGAGGGGAAGGCCGATGGAGTATACACATTTTCCCAGGTTTGCCACGTGGCCGGCGGGTTGGGCCGAAGCCCCACGGGGCGTTTGTGCCAGCCGTTCGGCACGCTGCGCACCCCCTGTGACAAGGCCGCAGAGGGGCGGCAGCTGACGGAAAGCGCGCACAGCGTCGCGACCCGCTAGCCGGGCAGAAAAAAACCAGGGGGCCTCTCGGGGGCCTCTGGGAGTCTCAAGGGGACCTCTTGGCCTTCGGAGGCCGCCTTGGAGCCCTCCTGGGCCCTCTCTGGGCAGTCGCGGGTCTTTCTTTGAGCGTTTTAGGGCCGCCTTGAAAGCAAATGACAGCATCCTTCGAACACCGACCTGATATCATTGATTTTGGCCTTCTGAGGCCTTCCTGGAGGACGAATTGGAGTTGTGGGGGCCGCCTTGGAGGCCTATTGGGAGCATCTTGGACCATCTTGAGCCCATCTTGGGCCGTCTTGGTTGCATATTGAACCGTTTGGGAGACATCTTGCGGCCATCTGGGGCTCTCTTGGGGCGCTGAAAAGCCGTCTTGGAGGCCACCTGTGGCATCTTGAAGGCCTCTTGGGCCGTCTTGGGGCCCTCTTGGGGCGGTCTTCGGCAGCCTCTTAGGCCGTCGTGGGGTCATCTTGGAGGCCTCTTGGGCGATCTTCGGGGCCTCATTGGGCCGAATTGAGCCGTCGGAAGGCCATGCTGAAGCAGCTGCCAGAATCCTTCAACAACTTCAGGAAACTCAATGATTCGGGCCTCTTCAGGCCTTTCGTCCTGCCTGCAGGACCTCTCGCGCCGTCTTGAGGGCCTCTTGGGTGCTTCTTGGGCTGTCTTGGGCTCTCTTGGACCATCCTGACGGTCTTGGGGGCATCTTAGGACCATCTTGGAGGTCATCTCGGGGCTATCCTGGGCGTCTTGGGGTCATCTCGGTTGTCCTGGACACCATCACAGCCGTCTTGGAGGCCATCTTTGGACCATTTTTGGAGGGGAAGGCCGATGGAGCATACGTTTTCCCAGCTTTGCCAGGTGGCCGGCGGGTTGGGCCGAAGCCCCCCGGGGCGTTTGTGCCAGCCGTTCGGCACGCTGCGCACCCCCCTGTGACAGGGCCGCAGAGGGGCGGCAGATGACGGAAAGCGCGCACAGCGTCGCGACCCGCTGGCCGGGCAGAAAAAACCAAGGGGGGAGTGTGAGGGGGATTGGTTTCGGAGGACCCAGATGACGGGAAGCGCGCTTGGCGTCGCAATCCGTCAGTCGGGAGAGATACTAGTGGGAGTGTGAGGGACTGATGGCCCAAGTTTCGGTCATGTTCGGCCTTGGACAGCCCAAGTCAGGGCCCCAAGACAGCCCCAAGAGCGCCAAAGCTGACGCAACGACGGCCTCAGGGAGGCCCAAGAGGGCCCCAAGACGACCCGAGAGCGCTCAAAGACGAGCCAAGATTGGCCTCAAGACGGAGACGCTCCACGAGGCATCCAAGAAGGATGCCCAGATGCCAAAATCGTCCTATTCCCTTGGGGTTCCCGCGGAGAGCCAAGAGAGCCCCAAGAGGGCTTCAGGAGGTCCCCCACAAGGCCCCAGAGGGGCCCGAGAGGGGCCCAGACGGCCGAATCCCGTCAAGACGGCCCAAAGGACCTTCCTGAGAAGCTTTGTGGGCATTTTCCGCAGCCGTAAGGCCGAGAGCCTCTGGGGACCTCTATATACATACGCACGGAAATCGTTCAAGGTTGAACGGTTCGCGCGGCGTCAGAAACTAGGGCAAATGTCGAGGCAAACATCATCAAGGTAGGATGTTCCGCATTTGCTGCATGATGGCGGCGCATTACAAAGAAGGGCGTCGCCGCGTTGTGCCTTCGGCCGACCGCCGCTATTGCTGTCTCCTGAGTTTCTGGTGAGGTGGGCAGCGCTGAACTTGTCGGAAGAACCAGTGCCGCTTTTTGAGTCAGGGTATGGACTCCTTGCGACACCGTTTAAGGCAAGAGCAGGGGCCGCAAAGCCATCTCTACAAGATTCGCCAGCCGAAGGTACTGATGATGCTCTGTCGGATGATATCTAAGCCCAGTGATACGCTGCATCTTCGCTCACAGCACAGCCAAAAATGGTCGGGATGCACACTCAATGCTGCGGATACGGTCAGGAACTTTGGCTTCGCGTGTCGCGCCGCCAGTTCTGGCCCACCACGCTTCGGCGCGACGCGCGAACCACTTGGCAATCCCCGAGGCTCAACGTCCCGAGCCCTTTGCCCCGCGGAGCGGGGCGACACGCTGTCCGCCAGCGAACACGCTGTCCGCAGGGCACAGCGTGTCGCCAGGGCCGCCGTTGGCGACCGCAGGAGCCTCCGGCAGACACCTCGGCTCGAGCCACTTCGGCCCAGGCCGCCAAGCGTCGGAGTGCGCCTCGCGGGCCCGCCCTGCGAGGACGCCTCGCGGCCCTGCGGCGGGAACGATCAGGGCCAGCCAGGGCGTGCGGGACCCCGGCTCGGTCGGCAGCGCGCGGCAGCCGGCGTGGCGCCCCGACGAGCCCCTCGAGTGTCCAGGCACGCCTCCCCACAGCGGCGACGAGGCGGAGCGGCCAGAGCCTCGAGCGCGGCGGGCCGAGGTCGGGCGCGGCGCCCAGGCGCTGGCAGCCCGGGCGGCAGCGGCGAGCGCCGCCGAGGTCGTCGCCGCGCAGGCGCTGGAGGGCAGCAGCGCCTGCGAGGCAGAGTGGCCAGAGGGTCCGGCACGGCTGGTCGAAGTCGGGCTGGACGCCCAGGCGTTGGCAGATTGGGCGGCCTCGGCGAGCACCGCCGAGATCGTCGCCGCGCAGGCGGTGGAGGGAAGCTCTTGCGAGGCGCTCTGGCCGGCGCGGCCGAGCGAGGTCGGGCGGGACGCCCAGGCGCTGGCAGACCCGGCGGCGGCGTCCAGCACCGCCGAGATCGCCGCGGCGCAGGCGCTGGAGCGCAGCGCCTGCGAGGCGCTCTGGCTGGCGCGGCCGAGCGAGGTCGAGCGGGGCTCCCAGGCGCTGGCAGACTCAGCGGCAACGGCAAGCACCGCCGAAATCGTCGCGGCGCAGGCGCTGGAGGGCAGCGCCCGCGAGGCGGAGTGGCCGGCACGGCCGAGCGAGGTCGGGCGGGGCGCCCAGGCGCTGGCAGGCCCAGCAGCAGCGTCCAGCACCGCCGAGATCGCCGCGGCGCAGGCACTGGAGGGCAGCGCCCGCGAGGCGGAGTGGCTGGCGCGGCAGGGTGAGGTCGGGCTGGGCGCCGACTGGGCGGCCCAGCCGCCTGCCGAAGCCGAGCGGGACGCCCAGGCGCTGGCAGACCCGGCGGCGGCGTCCAGCACCGCCGAGATTGCCGCGGCGCGGGCACTGGAGCGCAGCGCCTGCGAGGCGGAGTGGCCGGCACGGCCGAGCGAGGTCGGGCAGGGCGCCGACTGGGCGGCCCAGCCGCCTGCCGAAGCCGAGCAGGGCGCCCAGGCATTGACAGACCCCCCGGCGGCGGCGTCCAGCACCGCCGAGATCGCCGCGGCGCGGGCACTGGAGGGCAGCGCCCGCGAGGCGGAGTGGCCGGCACGGCCGAGCGAGGTCGGGCAGGGCGCCCAGGCATTGACAGACCCCCCGGCGGCGGCGTCCAGCACCGCCGAGATCGCCGCGGCGCGGGCACTGAAGGGCAGCGCCCGCGAGGCGGAGTGGCCGGCACGGCCGAGCGAGGTCGGGCAGGGCGCCCAGGCATTGACAGACCCCCCGGCGGCGGCGTCCAGCACCGCCGAGATCGCCGCGGCGCGGGCACTGGAGGGCAGCGCCCGCGAGGCGGAGTGGCCGGCAGGGTCGAGCGAGGTCGGGCAGGGCGCCCAGGCATTGACAGACCCCCCGGCGGCGGCGTCCAGCACCGCCGAGATCGCCGCGGCGCGGGCACTGGAGGGCAGCGCCCGCGAGGCGGAGTGGCCGGCACGGCCGAGCGAGGTCGGGCAGGGCGCCCAGGCATTGACAGACCCCCCGGCGGCGGCGTCCAGCACCGCCGAGATCGCCGCGGCGCGGGCACTGGAGGGCAGCGCCCGCGAGGCGGAGTGGCCGGCGCGGCCGAGCGAGGTCGGGCGGGTCGCCGGCTGGGCCGATGAGCAGCGCGAGGCTCGTCGAGCGGCGAGCGCCGCCGAGGTCGCGGCGACACAGGCCGCTGCGGCGAGGGTCCACGCCCACCTGGCGGCGGTAGGGGACGCAATCGCCCAGGTGTCGGAGCCAAGTTGGGCGGTGGAGGAGTCCGAAGCTCTCGATCCTCGTGGCTTCAGCTGTCTTGCGGTGGGCAGCGCCGTTGCGCCTGTGGAGCGGCGCGTCGAGGTCACGAGCATGGCAGACAGCCCTGCCTGCGGGGTGCTCTGGACGGACAGATGGCCAGGTGCCAGTGCGATGCTGACGGAGGATCAAGACCTCCGCGGCCTCTTCAACCCAATGATCCCGCAGCTCTCCCAGGATAACGCGCTGTTGCGCGAGCAACTCAACGATGCGCATGTCAGATTGCAGCGGCTTGAGGAAGAGAAGAGCCAGCGGCCGGACGAGCGCGCGTTCGATCTTGCAAACACGGTGTGCCAGTCGTCGGTCGTGGTTTTGCAGAGCTATGATCGGCGAGCAGAATTGCCAGAATTACCCAAGTGTCCGTCCCCTTTGGTTCCAGATCTTTCGCCCGTTTCCGCCATGGTGGAGCAGGAGCTGGAAGTGGAGCGGCCGGCACGCCAGGCTGGGGTCGAGCGGGATGCCGCAGCGCCGGCAGACCAGGCGGCCGAGCAGCGCGAGGCCTTTCGAGCGGCGAGCGCCGCTGCCAGGCAGCCCGAGACTCTGGGAGCGGCGAGCTGGCCAGCTGGCAGCGCCTGCGAGGCGGAGTGGGCGGCGCGGCTGGCCGAGGTCGGGCGGAGCGCCGTGGCGCTGGCAGACAGAGCCGCCGAGCAGCTCGAGGCCCTTCGGTCGGCGAGCGCCGCTGGGGCCGTCGCGGCCCAGGCCGGTGCGGCGAGCCCCCCGTGCAGGCGGTCGCCGCGCAGCGCCTGCGCAGCGGAGTGGCCGGAGGGGCCCGCCCGGCCGTCCGAGGTCGGGCGGGGCGCTGTCCGGGCGGCCGAGCACCACGAAGCCGCGGGTGCGGCGAGCACCGCCGGGGCCCTCGGGGCGCAGCCCGAGGCGCCGAGGTCCTTCTGCGGGCGGCCGCCCGGCAGCCCCCTCCACAGGCGGCCGCCCGGCAGCGCCTGCGAGGCGGAGTGGCCTGAGCGGCCGCCGCGGCCCGCCGAGGCCGAGCGGGGCGCCGAGCCGGCGGCCGAGCAGCGCGAGGCGCCTGGGGCGGCGGGCACGGCGGGCGTCGTCGCAGCACGGGCCGCTGCGGCGAGGGCCTGCCCACGGCCCGCTGCGGCAGAGGGCGCCGAGGCCCCCGGCGCCGCCGAGGCCTCCGAGGTGCGCCGGCTGGCCCGGGAGGCCCTCGCCGGCGCGCAGCGGCTCTGGCAGCCCGCGGCCTGCGAGGGCGAGGGCCTCATCGCCGGGCCCGCGCACCGCGACCAGGCCCACGCCGAGCCCACGCAGGAGCTGCGCTCTCGGCGGGGGTCCCCCGAGCGGCTGCTGCAGCCGCCCGAGGGCAGGGCCGAAGCGCGGCGGCGGCGGCCGCCCGCGGGGGCGCACCCTGCGCGGGCCTGGGCGCGGCGCGAGGCGCGCGTGATCCTCGCGATGTGGCGCGTCATCAGCAAGCACCGCCGGTGTGTGCAGGCAGTGGCCCTCCGCCGCACGCTCAGCATCGTGGCCCTCCGTGCGCTCTGGGCGTGGGCCCGCTCGGTGCGCCAGCCGTTCGTGGCGCGCGCGGTGCGGTGGGGCCTGCGCGAGCACGGGCGCACCACCCGCCAGGAGGCCCTCCTTCGCATCCTGGCGGCCTGGCGCGCCCTTTCCCCCGCCGCGCGGCAGCTGCGGCAGATGCGCTGGGCCCCGCAGTTCCCCGAGCCTGTGCCGGCGTGGCCGCCGCCGCTCGTGCACGCCGTGCATCTGAGCGCCGCGCTGCCGCCCGCCGGCCGGCGGGGCCAGGCCTGCGGGCGGCCGCCGCCCGTGGGCCAGGACCTCGCGGCGGTCAGCGCCAGGTCCTCGCTCGCCAGCTGCGTCACGCAAGACCCGTGCGAGCAGAGCTTCTCCTTGAGCCACTGATGTCCACGGCCAAAAGAAGCCCCTGGGGGAATCGATAGGCTGCTGGAGTGGGCCGGCGCCGCCGAGCTCGTTTCGCCGGGCCCGGCATGGGTGAGAGCTGCGCGCATCGCCGCATCATGTGTCAGTGTGCCCCTTGCCAGAGATCAGTAGGAGCGATCGTGGTCCACAGTGTGCAGCTTCTTTGCTGCGGTGCTTCCCTTGGGCATTGCCCTGCAACTGAGCGACGCAAAAACGGGTCCCATTGCGCCGACATCGGCGCGCAGGCTGCTCGCGTAAGGTCGCGCGTAAGCACCCTCGTCTCCAATGTGTCGTGCCGCGCTGGCGGCCCGCGTAAGCCGCCGCGTAAGGTCGCTACGTCATCTCACACAAGACCTGTTTTAAATCTTCGCTCAATTGGTGACGGGACCGATGTGTTGGTCGAGTCAATGAGGGCATCGTCGCGAATCAATGTCTGTCCTTCGATGCAGCGATGCTGACTGGACGGTGTGTCCCACCAAGTTTCTTTATTGTAAGACGGCTTAGCCCAGACATGTGTCGAACGCTAAAGGAAATCTGAAACACTGACAACCTAAGAGTAGATAAGACGGCTGTGACGTCTGAAGCAGGGACGTTGATGTCCTTACCGGTCGTTTGGCCACGCATGACTGGCTGACTGCATCTGTGCGGCAGATTCGAACAATGACGAATCGGTTTCGCGAGCAGCGACGGTGATGGGGAGTGCGTTGAGAGGGAGGAGAGAAACGATGAAACCGAAATGGAGACGGTGCCTTGCACTGCGTGCGGTTCGGGATGACACGACCGCGGTGGGGTTAGACCTCGATGCGTCTGTGGCCTCTGGGCCAAAACAGCCTCGACCGACTCGTTGATAATCTACTCTAGTCGTCGTTTTCTTTATCCCTGGTTTTGCCGATCGGCGCGGGCCCTCGCACCCCCATCCCCCCCCCCGATGGGGTAGATCTTGGCTGTGGCGCCTGTTTCAGGCGGAGTCTCTCCCATAAGACGCAATGTTGCAAACAGTCGCATTAACCAGAGGTCCGGAGCCAGACACCCCCCTCGCCCCCCACCTCCGCCCAATGCCGAAACGCCAAAATTGACAAAAAAAATATCCCAGTGCGACCCTACCTAGGAGTTGGAGCCTCTAGGGAAGCAACATTAGCAGCAGCAATAGTGGATGCTGTGCTGCGCTATGCTATGCTATGCTATGCTGTGCAATGCTATGCTATGCTGGGCTAGGCTAGACTAGGCTATGCTATGCTATGCTATGCTATGCTGCGCTATGCTATGTTATGCTATGATATGCTGTGCTATGCTATGCTATGATAGGTTGCGCTGTGCTATGCTAAGCAACGCGATGCTATGCTATGCTATGGTATGCTGCGCTATTATATGCTGATCTATGATATGATATGCTTGGCTATGCTATGCTATGCTATGCTATGCTATGCTATGTTGTGCTAATGCTGCGCTGCGCTATGCTGCGCTAAGCTAAGGTAAGCTAAACTAAGCTAAGCTAGGCGAGGCTAGGCTAAGCTAAGGTAAGCTAAGCTAAGCTAAGCTAAGCTAAACCAAGCTATGATAAGCTAAGCTATGCTAAGCTAGGTTAAGCCAAGCCAAGCTAGGCTAGGCAAAGCTGAGCTAAGCTAAGCTAAGCTAAGCTAAGCTGGGTGAACCCCTAGGAATGAATCGCGGGGCGGATCCTGGGGGAACTGCGGGGCGGATGCTAAGGGGACCGCCCAGGGCGATGTGCACTGCCCGGCCCCTTTAAGCTTATGAAGTAAGAACCCTTCTAGGCAGAGCCTAGGTAGGGGGGGGGAAAAAAAACTTCAGATCCGATGGCTGCCGAGGGTGGCGGCTCAGGGACCAGGCTCTGTCGCGGTGTCCAGTCGAGGGCGGAAGTGGTGGGCCTGCTGCCGGCGGTGGCCGTGCTCGCCGCGGCGGCGGCCCGAGCATCACTCCCGCGGCACCTCGTTGGCTTCCGCGTGTGCGCAGGCGGCCATTTGAGCTTTCACCAGCCGCCGTGAAGGTTGAAGGAGGTGCGAACGCCGTTTCCCTCGGGGCGCCACCCTCCTCGGCCACGCGCAGAAGGGTAGGGGGAGGGGAGAAGGCTTCTTAGAAGCACCCCTGCTTCTTAGAAGGCGCGGGCCTTGTCTGCAGATGCGAGGCCCGCGCCTTCTAGGAAGCAGCCTCCTTCTAAGAAACCTTCCCCCCTCCCGCTACCCCCTTCTGCGCGTGGCCGCCTCATTCTCAGCCTCATCCTCAGCCTCATCCTCACGCTTCCCCTTGCCCTCGTCTGCTTGTCCCTCGGCCTCCTCCCCAAGAGCAGTAGAGGCCGCAGCCGCCGCGGGCGCAGAGCATCTCGAAGAGAGCAAGGGCATGCCCATAATTTTTCGGAGGTCCGCGCGAGTTTCTTGGATAGGCGTTGGTCCCCCTGGCGGTGCCTCCGGCGCCGATCCAGGGGGAAAGAACACGGGGTCGTCTGCGCCCACATTCGCGCGTAAGCTCCCCGCGTAAGGTCGCGTGTAAGCGCCCTCGTCTCCAACGTAACGTGCCGCGCCGGCGGCCCCGCGTAAGCCGCCGCGTGAGGTCGCTACGTCATCTCGCGCAAGATCCGTGTTCGATCGCCGTTCAAGTGGCTTCGCTCGCCGGGGTGCGTATTGCGAGGGTGGATTTTTGTTCTCTACATTCACCACCCACCAAACCACCCCAAACCAATCTGAAGGCTTCAGTTTGCCCTCCATTTCCAGTGGGGGGGGGGTCGGGGAGCATTGGAAAGAACACACGGAACCCGCACCCCCCCAACCCGAAATTCGGGTCAGATTTGGGTCGTCGGGTTGGGTTGAGGTGGTCTGGTAGGTTCGGGCCGAACGAAAGGGGGGGATGGGGTCACACGATATTTGCTGCATGCAGCTGGTTTCGGCCCCGCCGAGGGGCCCATTCCTCTTTACATGGCCGGCTCTGGCGCCGGGAGGCGCCGCGAAAATCAGCGACGTAAGCTGATTCTCAAACCCCCTCCTTTCCCATCCCCCCCTTTCCCCCGGCCCGAGAGGCAAGGCATGCACAGAGGGCCGGAGCACGCCCGAAGCAGCCCGCCCAGCCCTCGACGGGGAGGTGGGCCGTGCTCTCCCCCGGGCGCCCGTGGGCGCCACTTGGAGAGGCACCCGGAGCGCCACCCCCCCCCCCCATGGAGGCCAAAGAGCGAGCCGGGCAGGCGGGCAGCAGCGGCAGAAGCCTGTCGGGTGGACCCAGGATCGGGCCGGACGAAAGGGGGGGAGTGGGAAAGGGGGGTTACGAAATTTGCGGCATGCCGCTGGTTTCGGCCTCGCCGAGGGGGCCATTCCTCGATGCTATAGCCGCCTCCGACGCCGGGAGGCGGCCATTCCTCGATACGTAGCCGCCTCCGACGCCGGGAGGCGCCGGGAGAATCAGCTACGTGAGCTGATTCTCAAACCCCCCCTTTGCTATCCCCCTTTTTCGCCCGACCCGACAGGAGGGTCGGAGGTTGATAGGCCTCCTGCCCTGACGCGTCGATGCGCGAACTGGCCGTTTTCGGTTCGCGAGGGGGAGTCGCGGCCGTCCTTTTTGCGGGTCTGGGTGCGGCGGTTTCGGTCTCAGGCCGTTTTTTGCTAATGGCGGTTGAATAAAGAAAAGTTTGCCCACCGCCGAAAGGGGGTCCAGCGACGAGGGGGTGGTGCAATAGATTGGAAAGCGCTCGCGCGCGCGCGGAACTCGCAAAGGGAGGGAGCTACCGCCTCCCCCCCCTTGGCCCCCCCCCTGCTGGAAGCTACACCCCCCCTCCCCCCCTTTTCCGCCTCCCCCCGGAAGCTACCCCCCCCCCCTCCCCCCCTTTTGCCGCTCTGGAAGCTACCCCCCCCCGCCCTCCCCGCCTTGCCAAAGGGGAGGGGGGCCTTAGCTACCCCCCCCCCTTGGACCCCCCCTGCTGGAAGCTACCCCCCCCCGCCCCTCCTTTTCTGTCCCCCCCCGCAAGCTACCCCTCTTTTGCCGCTCCGAAAGCTCCCCCCCTTCCGCCCCGTTCTAAAGGGGGAGGGGGTGGGGGCTTAGCTACCGCCCCCCCCTTTTGAACCCCCCTTGCTGGAAGCTACAACCCCCTCCCTTGAATTCCCCCTGCCAGACGAACCTCCCCCGTCGCACTCGTCGTCTTCGTAGGACGCCGTCGTCATCCTCGTCGTCGTTGTCGCCGCCGTCGCCGTCATTGCCGCCGTCTTCGCATGACCTCGTCGTGGTCGTCACGACGAGGACGAGGTCATGCGAAGACGGTGACGGACGACGGACGACGCGCGACCGACGACCGACGACGACGACGACGACCCAGGGTCAGAGAAAACGACACCACGACCCAGGGGCTGAGAAAACGAGGAAACGAAGCAGGGTCCGAGAAAACGAGACCACGGCCCAGGGTCCGAGAAAGCGAGAAAACGAGCCAGGGTCCAATAAAACGAGAGCACGACCAAGGGGCCGACAAAACGAGACAACGAGAAACAAACCAGTGCCCGAGAAAACGAAACCACGACCCAGGGACCGAGAAAACGAGAAAACGAACCAGGGACCGAGAAAGCGAGAACACAACCCAAGGGCCGAGAAAACGAGAAAAACGAGAAAACGAACCAGGGCCCGAGAAAACGAAACAAAAACCCAGAAGCCAAGAAAACGAGAAAACGAGGCAATGAACCAGGGTCCGAGAAAACACGATACCGACCCAGTGCCCGAGAACACGGGAAAAGGATAAAACAAACCAAGGTCCGAGCAAACGAGACCACGACACAAGCCGAGGAAACGCGAACACTTGTCCTAGGAAAACGAAACCAAGACCCAGGGGCCGAGAAAACGAGAAAACGATAAAAGGAATCAGGGCCCGAGAAAACGAGACTACGAACCAGGGGCCGAGGAAACGAGAAAACGACAAAACTGGACCACGACCCAGGCGCCGAGAAAACAAGAAGCGAGAACACGAACCAGGGCTACAGAAAACGAGACCACGACCCAGGGGCAGAGAAAACAAGAAAACGAACCAGGGTCCGAGAAAACTAGACCACGACCCAGGGGCCGAGAACACCAGAAAACGAGAAATCGAATCATGGCACGAGAAAACCAAACCACGACCCGGGGGCAGAGAAAACGAGAAAACGAACCAGGGCCCGAGAAAACGAGACCATCACCCAGGAGCCGAGAAAACAAGACCACGACCAAGAGGCAGAGAGAATGCGGAAACGATAAAACAAATCAGAATCCGAGAAAACCAGATCACGACCCAGTGGCCGAGAAAACAAGACAACGAGAAAAGGAACCAGGGTCCGAGAAAAGAAGACCACGACCCAGGGGACGATATAACAAGAAAACAAGACAACGAATCAAGGTCAGAGAAAATGAGACCACGACACAGGGGCCGAGAAAACGAGACAAAAACCCAGGGGCCGAGAAAACAAGAAACGAGAACACGAACCAGGGTCCGAGAGACCGAGACCACGACCCAGGGGCCGAGAGAACGAGAAAACGAGAAAACATACCGGGGCCCGAGAAAACGAGACCACGACACAGGGGCCGAGAAAACGAGAAAACGAGAAAACGAACCAGGGTCAGCGAAAACAAGACCACAATCCAGGGGCCGAGAAACGGAGAACAGGAGAAACCGAACCAGGGTCCACGAAAACGGGACCACGATCCAGGGGCCGAGAAAACAAAAAACGAACCAGGGTCACAGAAAACGAGACCACGACCCAGGAGCCGAGAACACGAGAATACGAGAAAACTTACAAGGGCCCGAGGAAAAAGAAAAATGACACCACGACCCAGGGGCCGAAAAAGCAAGAAAGCGAGATCACTAACCAGGGCCCCAAAAAACAACACAAAAAAGCAAAAGCCGAGAAAACGAGAAAACAAAACAACGAACCAGGGTCCGAGAAAACGAGACCACGACCCAGGGGCCGAGAACACGAGAAAACGAGAAAACAAACTAAAGTCCGAGCAAACGAGACCACGACCCAAGGGCACAGAAAATAAGAAAACGAACCAGGGTCCAAGAAAACACGACCACGGCCCAGGGGCCGAGAAAACGAGAAAACGAAAAAACTAATCAGGGCCCGAGAAAACGAGACTACGAACCAGGGGCCGAGAGAACAAGAAAACGAAAAAGCGAACCAGAACAGAGAAAACGAGACCACGTCGGAGCTTAAGAGGCGGGGGTCAGTGCAAACGGGGGTCAGCCAGGGCACTGGATCCTGCAGGATCTTGCGAAGACCCCTCTGGCTGACCCGGGTTAGCGAGCCGCTCGTGGCCGCGAGGCGGCCGCGCATATTGGTTGACCCGGGTTTGCGAAGCTCTGCGTTGCAGTTTTTTGGTCCTGCATTGCAATTTGTTTGTTTCCTGCTGACCTGGGTCTGGATTGACCCGGGTTAGCAGACCCCCTACCACGACCCAGGGGCCTCGAAAACAAAAAAAACACAAAAAAAAAAAAACGAGGAAATGAACCAGGCCCCGACGTTATTCTCCAATTCGTTCTCTAGCGCTGCGGTGCGCACCTGTCGTCAGGGATTCCGCCATTTTGCCAAAGCTCCGGAAGGGAAGGGGGGGAGGTAGCTTCGGAAGCCCCCCCCCCTTTGCACATGGGGGGGGTAGCTTGAAGCCGCCCCCCATTGTGTCCAGACCAAAAAAAGAAGGAGGGGGGGGGTAGCTTCCGAAGCCCCCCCCCCCTTTAAAAGGGAAGCCCGGGCTCACCTCCAGAAAAGGAAGGGAAGGGGGGGATAGTTTCGAAGCCCCCCCCCTCTTTAGCCAGGGCCCCCCTAGCTTAGAAACCCTTGCAGACGGAAGGGGGGGGTAGCTTCGGAAGCTCCCGCCCCCCTTTTCGAAGGAAGGGGGGGATAGCTTGAAGCTGGGTCCCCCCTTTTAGCATTGAGTTCCGTACGGGCGCGCTCTTACATATATATATATATATATATATATATATATATATATATATATGTGTATATATATATATATATATATATATTCGGTCAATAGATTTGTGGGGTTGAAATACGCTGGGGGCGTGCAACACATGCCGGGGCGCAAATGTACTGCTGAATCTTCGCGCGCACGACATTGAGTGCAACACAATGCAATTCAATTTTCTTGCGCAAGACATTTGCAATATATTTGCCCCAGAGCTGTTGCACCACCCCTTTTCGGCTGGACCCCCTTTCGGGTCACCCAGAGCCTTGCATCCCGATGGGTAAATCGGGGAAGAAAAAACGGCATAAACTTGTGTCGGGCGTGTCCCCCTCTACAGGAGGAAGGTTCCAGAATAATTCGGAACAATCATCTGGGGATTCTTTTCTGATGATGTTCGATGTTTTGGGTACTTTCTCACTGTGTTTTATTTGTCGGTCAAAACCCGCCTGTAGGAGGACACGCCCGACCTAAATCCAGGCGGGAGCATCGGAAAAAGGAAAAACGCCATAAACACGGACTCGTGGCGCTCCGCACGCGGGTTTTTGGGGATCCGCGCTGGGCCCCCCCCTCGGCGCCTCCGGCGCCGCCCATGGAGCGCCCCGCGCGGCAGGGGAGCGGGGTCCGGCGCGGATCCGAGACATCCGCGCGGAGCGCCAACAGTGTATGTGTATGCCGCTTTTTTCCTACATATATATATATATATATATATATATATATATATATATATATATCGGACGGGCCCAGGAGTCCAGAAAGCTTTCAAAGCGTTCCGAAACGCTCTGAGAAGGCCGCGACGCCCAGCACATCTTCCAGAGCCAGCAGATTTCAGAGATTCTCGATTCGTCTTCGCCCGAATGTATCCTCGCCCTGGCTTCGTCGCACAAGCGCTGTAACCCGAAGGCTGGCGTCCACAGACGGCCAAACCTTTTGAGCCTCGGCGCCTCAGGGCCGCGAAGACAGCGGCGGCGACAGCGGCGGCGGCAGCGGCGGCAGCGGCGGCGCCGACGCCGACCCAGACCCCCCCGACGGAGTGCTTTTTCCCAGCGCGCACCCCCAGGGGCCTCGATTCTTCTGCCCGAACCGATAGCGACGGCGTCCACGACTACGCCGACGCCGACGGAGCCGACCGCGCCGCGCGGGCGCCGCCAGCGACGGCGCCTGCGACGACGACGACGACGACGACAACGACGACGACGACGACGCAGACGACAATGACGACAATGACGACGCCGACGACGCCGACGACGACGACGACGACGACTACGACGACGACGACGACGACGACGACGACGACGACGACGACGACGACGACGACGACTGCACCGCCGACGACAGCGACGACGACGCTTGCGCAGCCGACGGCGACTGGGCTGACAACGGCGCTGACGACGGCCGCCGCCGACGGCGACGGAGCCGGCGGCCGCCGCGAGGTGGCGCGCCCGGGCCGCGTGCACGAGCTGGTCGCCGCGCTCGAGGGGCGCCGCGGCCGGCCCGTGGCCGCCTCGCCGCAGGACGCGCCTGCTCGCCCCACGCCCCGCACGACTGGCGCCGCGGGCGCCGTCGCCGCCGGCGCCCGAGGCAGTGCGCAGCTTCGCCTCCGTCGCTCGGAGGGCGGAGAGGTACCAACAGGGAGCGGCACTCTTGCTTCCTCTTCGCCCTGGGGGGCCTTCGTCGCCACGGCCAGATGCGCTGGCTCGGCCCGCGCCGCACGCCCTGGGTGGCGGCGCGCGCAGGAGGCGAGGCGGCGCGCCCACAGAAAAAAAAGTCTGTTCCCCGGTGGTCCATTCCCCGGTGAACTTCGGGAGCCTCGAGACGGGGGTCAATGCAAACGGGGGTCAGCCAGGGCACCCGATCCTGCAGGATCCTGCGAAGGCCCCCTCTGGCTGACCCGGGTCAGCGAGCCGCTCGTGGCCGCGAGGCGGCCGCGCACATTGGCTGACCCGGGTTTGCGGAGACCTGCGTTGCAGTTGTTTTTCCTGCATTGCAGTTTTTGGTTTCCTGCTGACCCGGGTCTGGATTGACCCGGGTCAGAAGATCCCCGAGAACTGGTCCACTCCCCGGTTGTAGGTTCAGAAGATCCTGAAGCTTTCGAGGCGTTCGAGGCGCTCCGTAGCAGGTTTGGAGGTGCTCCGGAGCAGTTTTGAGGGCGCCCTTCGGCAGCTTTTGAAGCGCTCCTTGGCCGCTTTTCAGGCGCTGCGTAGCAGTTTTTTAGACGCTCCTTGGCAGCTTTCAAGGCACTCCTTAGCAGCTCGTGAGTCACTCCTTTGCAGCTTTTCCGGCGCTCCGCAGCTGCTTTCGAGGCGCTCCTTCGCAACTTGTACGACGCTCCTTCGCAGCTTCTACGGCGCTCCTCAGCAGCTTTTCGCGGCGCAGCTTTTGAGACGTTCCTCGGCGTTCCTTAGCAGCTTTCGAGGCGCCCCTTAGCAGTTCTGCCGGCGCCCCTTAATCAGATGCAGAGGCGTTCCTTCGCGGTTGGTTCGGTGCTCCACAGCTGTTTTCGAGGCGCCCCTTAGCAGTTTGAGCATTCCTTAGCAGCTTCTGAGGCGCTCCTCAACAGCTTTTAAGGCGCTGCTTGGCAGCTTTTACGGCGCTCCTTAGCAGCTTTCACGGCGCTCCTTAGCAGCTTTCACGGCGTTCCCTGGCAGCTTGTACGACGTTCCTTCGCAGCTTCTACGGTGCTCCTTAGCAGATTTGACCACGCCCCTTAGCAGCTTGTACGGCGCTTCTTCGCAGTTCGCGATGCGCTGTTTAGCGGTTTGTACGGTGCTCCTTGGCAGTTGCACGGCGCTCCATAGCAATGTCCGAGGCGTTCTTGAGCAGCTGTTCAGGCGCTCTTTGGCAGCTTTTAGAGCGCTCCCTGGCAGCTTCACAGGCGCTCCTTTGCAGCTTTTACGGCGCTCTCTGGCAGCGTTGAAGGCGCTCCTTAACAGTTCTTGAGGCGCTCCAGCAGCTTTTACTGCGCTCCTCAGCAGCTTTTCGCGGCGCTCCTTAGCAGCTTCCACGGCGCTCCTTGGCAGCTTTCGAGATGCTCCTCGGCGCTCCTTGGCAGCCTTCGAAGCGCCACCTGGCAGTTCCGACGGCGCCCCTTAGCAGCTGCAGGGGGTTCTTAGCGGCTGGCGTGGTGCTCCATAGTTGTTGTCGAAGCGTCCCTTAGCATTCGTTGTTGTTATACGGCGCCCTTTAGCAGTTTTCGAAGCGCTCGTTCGCAGTTTTCACCACGCCCCCTGAGCAGCTTTGAAGACGCCCCTTGGCAGAGCTCAGAGCGTTCCTTAGCAGCGTTCGAGGTGCTCCCCAACAGCGTGTAAGGCGCTCCTTGACAGCTTCTACGGCGCTCCTTAGCATATTTCGAGGCGCTCCTTAGCAGCTGTTGTATGACGCTCCCTAGCAGCTTTTGATGCGCTCCTTATCAGCTTTTATGGCGCGCCTTTCACAGCTGCTTCGGCGCTCCTTCGCAGCTTTTACGTCGCCCCTTAGCAGCTTCTACGGCACACCTCGACAGTCGTTACGGCGTCCCTTAACAGCTTCCACTGCGCCCCTCAGCAGTTTTCGATGTTTTCCTCTGCAGGTTTTACGGCGCTCTGCAGGAGCTTTCGAGGCGTTTCCTGAGCAGCTTGCACGACGCTTATTCGCAGTTCGCGATGCGTTGTTTAGCAGTTTATATATATATATATATACACATAAAAAAGGCGCTTTTTGGCAAGCTCCCACGGCGCTCATTAGCAGTTTCCGAGGCGCTCTTTAGCAGCTGTCCAGGCGCTCTTTGGCAGTTGTTAGAGCGCTCCCTGGCAGCTTCACAGGCGCTCCTTTGCTTTTTTATTTGCGGCGCTCTTTGGCAGCCTTGAAGGCGCTCCTTAACAGTTCTTGAGGCGCTCCTTTGCAGCTTCGCGGCGCTTCTTAGCCGCTTTTCAGGCGCTCCTTAGCAGCTCTGACTGCGCTTGCTGGCAGCTTTCTACGGCGCTCTTCAAGTCACGGCGCTCCTTATCAGTTTTTTACAGCGATCCTCAGCAGCTTCCGAGGCGCTCTTCAGCAGGTTCTACGACGTTCCTGAGCAGTTTTCGAAGTGTTTTCTACCAGCTTTTACAGCGCTCCTCAGCAGCTTTCGAGGCACCCCTTAACAGTTGTTTTTTTCTCACGGCGCTCCTTAGCAGCTTTAAAGCCGATCTTGGGCAGAGTTGAATGCGTTCTTTAGCGGCTTCTGAGGAGCTCCTTAGCAGTTGCCTCGGCGTTCTCTAGCAGTTTTCGAGGCGCTCCTCAGCTGCTTTTAAGGCGCTCCTTTGTAGCTGTTATCCTGAGTAGTTGTTTCACGGTCCCGATGCCCAACCAGGGCCCCCGAGGCCGAAAGTTGCAAAAGACCTCCCATTATGATTTTTCCCAGCGCGAGGGGGTATGGGATGACCACCCGCCCGACATTTCTGCCCCGTCCACCCAGGGGTGCCCAAGAGCATGCCTCCCAGGGCGCGGGCCCCCCACACGGTGGATCTCTGAAGAGCCTCCGGGTTGGCCAGCCCCCCCCTTCTTTTCTTGCTCCTACTCCTCCGCCTCCTCCTCCTCCTCGTCTTCCTCCTCTGCCTCCTCCTCCTCCTCCTCCTTTTCCTCCTCCTCTTCCTCCCTCTTCCGTCCTCCTTCTCCTTCTCCTGCTCCTGCCCATCCTTTTTCCTCCTCCTCCTCCTTTCCTCTTTTCCTCCCTTCCCTCCTCCTCCTCCTCCTCCTCCTCCTCCTCCTCCTCCTCCTCCTCCTCCTCTCCCTGATCCTCCACCTCCTCCTCTGGGACGCTCGCTCCTCCTCCTCCTCCTCCTCCTCCTCTTCTCCTCCTCATCCTCCTCCGTTCCCTCTTCCTCCTCCTCCTCCTCCTCCTCCTCCTCCTTCTCCTCCTGCTCCTCTTCATCATCATCATCATCATCCTCTCCCTCCTCCTCCTCCTCCTCACCCTCCTCCTCTGGGACGCTCGCTCCTCCGCATTATCCTATTCCTCCTCTTCCTCCTTCTCCTCCTCCTCCTCCTCCTCCTCCTCAACATTGGGCCATGCTTTGGAGGCAGCGACCGCGGCCACCAAGGTGTTTGGAGCAAGAACCTCTTCCTTCTCCTCCTCCTCCTCCTCGTCCTCCTCCTCATCCTCATCCTCCTCCTCCCTCTCTTCCCCCTCATCCTCCTCAATAGTAGGTCAAGCTTTGGAGGCACATGGGTCGGCGGCAGCGACCGCGGCCGCCGCACAGGCACACCAAGGTGTTTGGAGCAAGAGCCTCCTCCTCCTCCTCCTCCTCCTCCTCCTCCTCCTCCGAACTTTCCACGCATGCCTCGCACTGCAGCCGTGTCCGGACGCGCCAGAACATGCAGGGGCCACGGCCTGCTGGCCCCGGGGATTGAGCCAGGCGGGGACGCGTGCCCGCCGCGGTGGCCCTCCGCTCGCGCCGCCGCGACGGGCCGGCGCTCCGCGCCGCAGCGGCTGCCCGGCCGCCCGCGGAGAGCGCGGGGGGGGGGGCCGCCCGCCCACGGCGCCGCCCCCCCCCCCGCGCAGCGCCGACGCCCGCGATGGCGTCGGCGGCGATGCTCGGCAGCCTCGCGGCGCACCGCATGGTGGCCCTGCTGGGGCCCGGGGACCTGGCGGACCTGAAGGCTCGGGGCTCCAGGCGAAGGAGAAGAAGAAGAAGAAGAAGAAGAAGCGCCATATAAGCAGAACCTTGCGTCGCTCCGCGCGGGCTTCTTGGATCTGCGCTGGACCCCACCGGCGGCGCCTCCGGCGCCGCCCTTGACGCGCTCCGCGCGCCAGGGAGGGGGGTCCAGAGCAGATCCAAGAAATCCGCGCGGAGCGCCAAAAGTTGATGTTTATGGCGTTTGTTCTTTCTTCTATCCGGGGACTTGGCATCGCTCAGACGTGTGCATGTTTTCTCGGCGAGGACCTTCGAGGAGCCTTTGAGGGTCATCCTGCGAGAATGACACGCCCGAAGCCGGAACATACGCGGGGAATGGACGTCCGAGCGATGGCGAGGGGACGGGGGTCGATGGCGGACCTGAAGGCTCGGGGCTCAAGGGACGGGGTTCAACTCGGCGGCGAGCCCGGGGGAGAAGTGAGACGGGGCGGACCTTCTCAGAAGGCTCGGAAGTCCCCCGGCCTTCTGAGAAGTTCTTTCTAAGCCTTCCCAGAAAATGCAGCAAACTTCTCAGAAGGCGCGAGGGCTCCTGAGAAGTCCCGCCGACTTCTGAGAAGGCCTTCTCCTTCCCAATTCCCCCCTCACTCGCCGCCGATCAATGCAAACGGGGGTCAGCCAGGGCGGCGGATCTTGCAGCATCCTGCAAAGCCATGGCCGCACTGACCCGGGCTAGCGCGCGGGATCCTGCAGGATGTTGCAGGAATCTGCAAAGCCCGACTGAGCCAGGTTGGCATTGACCTGGGTCGGTTGATCCCCGGAAGGCCCTCGAGGAGGCGTCGGGCGAGGCGGCGGGCGACCCGACGATGGCCTGGCACTCGGGGCACACAGCGACAGATGTGAGGTAGGCGTGATTCTAGACGCCTCGC